CCGACTCCGCGCTCTTACGCGGAGGCGATAGAGGGTCCCTACTCCTCTCAGTGGCAGGCAGCCATGGACGCAGAGATGGCTTCCTGGAAGTCCACAGGCACATACGTCGACGAGGTTCCCCCACCTGGGGCGAACATCGTCAGTGGCATGTGGATTTTCAGGGTGAAGCGGCCGCCGAGTTTCTCCGCCTGTCTTCAAGGCGCGTTACATGGCTCGAGGCTTCAGTCAGTGGCAGGGAGTTGACTACTTTCAGACCTTCTCTCCCACCCCGAAGATGACCACTCTTCGAGTGCTACTGCACATAGCCGCTCAGCGCGACTACGAGCTTCACTCTCTTGACTTCAGCAATGCTTTCCTACAGGATAGCCTGCACGAAGAGATCTGGCTGCGCCGCCCACCTGGCTTCACTGGGTCTTTTCCTCCTGGCACCCAGTGGAGCCTCCGGCGCCCAGTCTACGGTCTCCGCCAGGCACCTCGTGAGTGGCACGACACACTGAGGACTACACTTGCGGCTCTTGGGTTTGCTCCTTCTACTGCTGACCCGTCGCTGTTTCTGCGCACCGACACCTCTTTGCCGCCGTTCTACATCCTCGTGTACGTCGACGACTTGGTCTTTGCCACAGCTGACACTGCTGGACTCGCCCACGTGAAGTCCGAGCTGCAGAAGAGACACACGTGCACACACCTGGGTGAACTGCGCAGCTACCTTGGCTTGCAGATCACCCGGGACAGAGCACAGCGCACCATTACCCTGACTCAGTCACACATGGTGCAGCAGGTCCTTCAGCGCTTCGGCTTCACGTACTCCTCGCCACAGGCCACTCCTCTGTCTACTCGCCACTCGCTCTCAGCTCTGCCTTCGGATGAGTCCGTAGAGCCGAGTGGCCCGTACCCAGAGCTTGTTGGCTGCCTCATGTACCTGATGACCTGCACACGACCTGACCTTGCATACCCTCTCAACATTCTGGCACGCTATGTTGCTCCTGGGAGACACCTCCCTGAGCACATGGCTGCAGCGAAGAGGGTGTTGCGCTACTTGTGCAGTACGTCGGGCATGGGGCTAGTGCTTGGAGGGCGGAGTCCAGTGGTCCTCACTGGTCACGCAGACGCGTCTTGGGTTGACGACTTGGCTGCGCAGCGGTCGTCACAGGGTTACACCTTCAGCCTTGGTTCCGGTTCTGTTTCGTGGCGGTCTACCCGCTCGTCTTCTGTTCTCAACTCGAGCTGTGAGGCTGAGATCTACGCAGGGGCCATGGCTGCACAGGAGCTACGCTGGCTCACCTACCTGCTGACTGACCTTGGAGAGCCGCCTCGTTCTCCTCCAGTTCTGTACGTAGACAACAAGGCCATGCTGGCCTTGTGTCGGGAGCACAGACTGGAGCACAGAACGAAGCACATTGCTCTTCGCTACTTTCTTGCTCGTGAGCTGCAGCAGCGTGGTCAGCTGCGCCTTGCTTACGTGGCCTCTGAGGCCAACACTGCTGATATCTTTACCAAGGCACTTCCGCCTTGTGATCATCAGCGCTTCTGTACGATGCTAGGTCTTGTGCCTACTTGGCCTCACTTGCTCACTTCTTGACCTTGCTTGTACTGTGATCTTTCTATACCTGCACTTGCTTGTTTACCTTTATATATGATCTTGCATGTGAACTGGCCTTGTGGCCTTGAACTTGTGCTCGGAATGTGTGGTGACGTTGTGATCCACCCTGAGCTTGCTTTGCTTTGCTTGACTGGTCTTGTGACCTCTTGTTCTCCCCCACTTTGCCTATGGGGGTGTGTCAAACTCATATGCTATAGTCTGTGTAGGCTGTAGTGGGGTAGACAATATGGGGTACAACACTTTTAGGTTTTCCTACTTGTACCCACCTGCTTGCTAGTTCACTCATCCCTCGTTCTTTCACAAGCTGGACATATATAATACGGAGATAACTCGATCAACGGGAGCTAGTCTATGGTCTAGGCACGGGGTAGGAGTGATCCCTGCGTTTGTTCCTTTGTCGTTTGCTTGTGCTTGCACTACTTGCTCGTTCACAGGGAGGTTTGGCAAGAGTTTCGCTAGCAAAAGTTCACAAAAAAATGGTTCAGAATGATAGCAACAAAGTTGGCAAAGCTGACTACATCAGAGCTAGCAAGAATGCAGGTCGACTGCCAGCGCAGCACGGTCGACCGCGTTCCAGCACGACAAGGTCGACAGCGCTCCAGCAGAGCAAAGTCGCGGTCTGCCAATGGTGCAAGTCGACGGCGTGCCAATGCTGCAGCAAGGCGGCTGCATAGCGTTGCACCCGCAGGACAGCAGCGCACCCATTTCGCAGGCGCTCGCAATTGATTGGCGTGCTGTTCCTCGTCACCCGCACAGCGCAGACACCAAGTCGTCTATGTGCTGTCGACTGCACCTGAGAAGCCACATCGACCTCGGGATACCACCTCCGAGGTCGACTTCGCCAGAACCACCTGGGCGACCGTCGCGTGCCTTAGCAGAACCTCGTCACCTAGATAACATGGTCGACCCGGATACCACTAGGTTGGTGTCGTATGCTTCCGCAGAACCTCGTCACCAAGGTAACTTGGTCGACCTGAATATCACCAGGTCGGCGTTGACTTCCTCGGGGAAACTCGACCGAATGCTATACGTGCTCGTCGACCACCGAAGTCGACGACCACCCGCCGATTTCACCAAGTCGGTCATCCTACAGGTCGGCCCAAGTTGGTGTCGCCCACTGCTGCAGGTCGGCTGTACCTCCCACTCACCCGACCACGAAGTTGGCTCCGCCCAAGCGAGGACGGGGCCAACCACAACTTCCGTTGACATACGTTTCACAAATCCTGATAACGACGTATTGCATATCCCCTCCCCTTGGCGCATGTTGGTGCGATGTGGCGCACCAGATTTATAATGTAAGAGGTCGCACCAATATGGTGGATCTGCTTGAACCAGGTTACGCCAAAGCGCACCAGTGCGATGTGGTGTACCATGTCACATTTGCGCGCAGCAATTGCTTGCAAAGTTTCCACCAATACATACCAACTTGTCCCCAATATTTGAATTGGAAATATGGCAATCAGAAGAATCGCAAGCCCATTCAGTTTTGCAACTTCGTCACCGCGCCGCATACCCATCTTGTACAAAGCAAACAAGAAAACCTCATTCATAAACAAAGCTCAACAGTCATGAAGTAACCATGAACATAAGAGATTAGCAAATTAGCTACAAAACAGATTGAATAAGAAGCTGATAGCAGGAAATACCACAACGGCCTTCTTCTAAATGAGCCTAGTCAAGCTCTTACTAGCGAACCACACGTGCATATAGCGGGTACTCCCAGAACATGCAATTTGGATGTCGACAAACCCTAGGTCAGATTATCTCAAGGCTGCTCAGGTTGTAGTCCCAAGATATAGCTGTCCTCGGCGACTCCTAGGCTCAGGCAGTCCCTGGAGAGCCGCAACACGCACACTCAGTCTAGTGTTCATTAGGTTCCGGAACTTCTCCTAGTTGTTCTTAAGTTTGACCTGGGTGTAAGAGTAGTCGATGTTAACAAAGGTCGTACGAATTCCATGGGTTAATTTATCTGCAGATGTTCCGGTTCAGTGACTGGAAAGGTAAAGACTACAATCGATGCCTGTCAAGATTGGTGCGGCACAATTTCTGGTTTGTAGCCATTGATGTTTTAGAAACTCCACCCATCCCTACCTGAACGTCGGTGCGCTCGCCTGGTCAGAACTCCGTTTTTGCTGTTTTCTGATTATATTTTGGATAGTTCACTTAACAGCTGTCCTGATTGCAACTCTGCTCGTGCATAATGTCGTCATGTCGCCAATGCTCTTCCCCATCGGGATTAGCTTGACAGATTGGCGGTATTGCCGACCCACCATGGTCTAACCACATCCTCGCTCGAAACTGACAACAACCAGGCACCATCGCTAACATTGCTAGTCGGTTTGACGAGTTAGCGGTGCCGGTCGGTACCACGGCGGTGCTGATCGGTACCACCTCGGTGCTGGTCGGTACCACAAGTTAGCAGTGCCGGGGTTGCAGCGGTACCGTCATGGATGTCAAGCCCGTGCTGACCAAATGCGCGGGGAAGCGGTGGGAAAGCATCGGTTCCGCATCAACAACCTCTCCACCGCAGCCGGCCACTTCTCACCCACAACCAGCCACCTCGCACCCACACCTATCCGATTCAGCGAATTCCGACTCTGAAAGCAGCAAACCAAGCCGATCTCTCCTGTCCATTTTCCAGCGGGCGAAAGTTGGTGGTGGTAGCACCAGCACTGGTGGTGGTAGTCCTGCTCGCGGGACTGCTGGAGCCTCGGGAGGAGCAGCCTCGGGAGGAGCAGCCGCAGGCAAGAAGGAAAGCAGATCGCCGGAGAGTAGCAATAGTCGTATCCCCGTTATAAGTTCTGCTCATTCCCGGTATACAGACGGAGCGAGTGAGGATGCGTCGCCGCAAGCTGCTAGGCCGCGGGGAGCAGGCACTGCGTCAGAACCGGTTGAAGACTATGCAGTTCCAGGCGGTAGCTCGCGCCCTTCCAGCGGTAGCAGCGCCAGCAACAGCACCAGCAACAGCACCAGAAACAGCATCAGCGACAGCACCTGGAACAGCACCAGCGACAGCAGCAACAACCCCTCCGTCTCCGGCAGTAGTGGTGCCTCCTCGCGGTTCTCTCTCTCCCCGCCTCGAGATCCGTACGGGGACGCGCGAAAGATCAGCAACCGCTACTGCGTCTGGGACGATCGGCAGAAGGTCTGGTACCGCTTCGAGGGCCAAAGCAGAGTGTACTGGAAAGTCGCAGCTGGCAAATCGCCTCAGGAGGGCGAATGGGTCGCACTGCCTTATGAAGACGAACGACCGAAGGTGGACCTGGTCAGTAAACCGGGTTTCAACGCGCCTGTACGAAGCTCCACGCGTGGCATTAGTCGGACAGCAAGCGGAGACGGCGGCGCGGGGAAGAGCAGCGCGGGTGCGGAGGACGGGGAGAGGCGGAGGCGGCCGGATTCTATGTCAGGCGGGGGTCGGGGGGGTAGTGACTCCGCCAACGCGTGGAGTTTCGTGAAGGAGCAGGAGCTTACGACGGACACGGAGCAGGAGCTGAAGGCGCTGCAAGCAGGCCCGGACCCCAGCCTCGCGTCCTTGCATGTGTCCAAGTCCTTTCCGCCGGAGGTGGGCAAAGCAGCAGCGGCGAGCGCGGCAGGCGCGGTGGGGGGGAGGGGGAACCTGGGGAACCTGCAGCCGCTGCCAGTCGCGCCCCCTACCGTGCCATCTGGCGCGTCTTCTCCGCGCAGCGGCCCCTCCACGCCGCCTGAACCATCAGCCATGGGAGCTGCAGGAAGAGGAGGATTAGGAGGATTAGGAGGATTAGGAGGAGCAGGAGGATTAGGAGGAGCAGGAGGAGCAGGGCTGTACGGTTCTTCCCCTTCGAAACAGCCGTTGGAGCACAGGTCTCCCCATCCGCACACCGTGTCGCCAGACAGACGGGGTCAAGCCTCCAACCCCCTGCCCCTCCCTCCCGCCAGACAAGTAGGCGCGCTGGGCTCAGGACCAATGGCCGTGAGAATGGAAGCACCGGCGCCAGGTGTAGGCCCAGGTGTAGGGTCAGGTGTAGGGTCAGGTGTAGCAGCAGCACCAGGGCCTGTCCGCGCGCTCTTCCCCGTGCATTCCTCCCCTTCCCGGGACCTCGAAGCCGTTTCTGTGAACCATCCGCCGTCTCACGAGGCTCCGCCGTCAATCCTCGTAGGTCGAGGAGCAGCAGGGGGCGTGGGCGGTGCTGCTGCTGGTGCTGGTGGCACCGGTGGTGCTGGCGGGTTTGGTCGTGCTGATGGTGGGTTTGGTGGTGGTGATGGCGGTGGGTTTGGCGGTGGTGGGGGAAGTGGGGATGTTAGTCCTCTCGCGCGAGGGAGGTCCGTGTCTACATCTGGAGCGCCCGGTGGCGGATCTCAGGGGCACAGCCCGCGGACTCCCGCGCCCTCTCCTATGGATGGAGCTGTAGCAGCTGTAGCAGCTGTAGCACCTGTTGCGTCCGCTTCAGCTGGCACTTCGCCGTCTGGCCGCCACAGAATGTCCCCGCCAGCAGGAGTGCCCTTTGGTGCTCCGCCTGTTGCCGGGAACCCTGCTGCGTTGAATCGGCAAGGAAGTGGAGGGGTGGGTGGGGGATTCGGAGGAGGGATGGGCGGGAATATGGGCAGAGGAATGGGAGGAAGCATGGGCGGAGGAATGGGAGGGAACATGGGCGGAGGTATGGGGGGAGGAATGGTCGGAGGAATGGGGGGCAACATGGGCGGTGGTATTGGGGGAGGAATGGGCGGAGGAATGGGGGGAGGGATGGGGGGAGGACTGGGCGGAGGAATAGGGGCAGGAATGGGGGGAGGAATGGGCGGAGGGATGGGCGGGGGCGGAATGGGGGGAGGGCTGATAGCAGGAGGAATGACGCCACCAGGGGGCATGATGACGCCACCAGTAGGAGGTATGGCAACCCCACCCGCTAGCAGCTCCAAGCTCTCAACTCAATCTGCATCCCCCTTCCGAATCAAACCTCTCGTGCCCAAGCTCGAGCCCCTCCCAATTCCCACCACCAAATCCCCCGTTGCCTCCCCCAGAGCCGCCACAGACAGGCCGCCGCTGCCCTTTGAACCTTCTCAGAACCCACAGAATCCGATGTTTCCCAAGTCGGCAAGCCAAACGTCCACCCCCGGCCAAGTGTCGAGAGTCGGCTCGATGAATGATGGGCACGGGAGGGATGTTGTCGGGCTGCCCGGAGGAGCAGGGTTCGGGCAGCATTTCGGGCAGCCGCAGCCAGGGCAGCAAATAGGTCAACAGTTTGGGCAGTCAGGGCAGCAATCAGGGCAGCAGTTGGTTCAGCAATCAGGTCAGCCGTTTGGGCAGCAGTCAGGGCAGCAGTCAGGGCAGCAGTTAGGGCAGCCGTTGGGGCAGCAGGTGCAGCAGCAGCTGGGGAGAGAAGGCATGCTTCCCTGGCAGCAATTTCCCAAATCATCCAGTCAAAGTTCAAACCCCGACTCTTCCCAACCATGGCACCAGCAGCAGCATCAGCAGCATTACCAACAGCAGCAGCAGCCGCAACAGCAGTACCCGCAACAGCAGTTTCAGCCACCGCCGTTCCCCCGAACCTCCAGCCAAACCTCTTCCCACTACCCAACCTCCCCAGGCCAGGCGTCCACCCCTGGAAACCTCTCCAGGGGAGGTTCCACTAACGAGGGCTCCATGCTCGTGCCTCCAGGTGGCTCTCCTATAGTCACAGCAGCAGGCGCTGGAGCAGAAGGTGCTGGGGATGAGGAGGGGGACGGGTGGGTGCCTCAGAGGGGAAGGTGGAAGAAGGGCAGCAGGATAGGGTCGGGAGGATTCGGGTCCGTGTACAAAGGAAGCGACATGTAAGTGTTTCTTAAGACATCTCGATAATTTGTCTCATGGATTGGGTCGAAGGGAGTTGGGTCCGTGTACAAAGGAAGCGACATGTAAGTGTTTCGAGGCAGCTCTGATGCTGGTTCAATCCCTCTGTTCCTTTGGTCCTGTCAAGGCGTTCTACGGAAGTCCATTCAAGTCAAGTCAGGTCAACTGTTCCGCGATTGCTTATTTTCCATTTTTCTCCTGCGGGCATCTACAGAATGCCTCGTTCTCGTATCTCTTTTCTCATTCAAGCATTCAGGAGAGAATAACGTTGACTCCTCCTCCCTCACATCTTACATGCCACGTGCTCGTCTGTCTCCCTGATCGCACACAAACACGTTTCTCCCCCTTGTTATATTTGTCTCATCCGCAGAGATACATCACGTGTGTTTGCGGTCAAGGAGGTCAATATCTCGGCTCGGACCATAAGTCGATCTCCCCACCCGCCCCACAGCAAGCACCCATGTCTTTCTCTCCCTCCCCTCCATGCTACCTCGTCTCATCCACAGAGATACATCACGTGTGTTTGCGGTCAAGGAGGTCAATATCTCGGCTCGGACCATAAGTCGATCTCCCCCCCCCCCCCCACAGCAAACACCCATGTCTTTCTCTCCCTCCCCTCCATGCTACCTCGTCTCATCCGCAGCGATACATCACGTGTGTTTGCGGTCAAGGAGGTCAATATCTCGGACCACAACTCTATCTCTCAGCTCGTGCAGGTGCGTGGCAGTGGCATTTTGGGCAATGTGTGCATGTGTGTGAGAGGAAGGTTGGGTGTGGGTGTGGGCGGGTGGGTGGATGTGGGTGTGGGTGGGTGTGGTGGGTGTGGGTGTGTGGGTGAGTGGTGTGGGTGGGTGCATGCACGCACATGCAGGTGTGCTCGCACATATGTCTGTCTGGGCCCCTGAACATGCTTGCTCAGACAAAAGCTGCTGCGCCTTCCATTTTCTCATCCGTTTTTGCAATTCTCTCTCTCCCAATCCCCCAACCTCCCCTCCCCACTCCCACCCTACCTGCTTTCACCATCCCACAATTCTCACACTCTCTCATACTCGTGCATGTGCACATAGTGCCCACATGTGCGTGGACGTTTTGAGGCCCATGCGTGCATAGCACACTCGCACACACAGATGCACACATGTTGCACTCTCACTTCAAGGATTTTTCCACCTCACTTTTCCCTCGTCCTCTTCCCCTTCCACTTTCTCCCCCTCACTCTCCACTTAACCTCACTCCCCCTCACTCTCCACTTAACCTCACTCCCCCTCACTCTCCACTCGCATGCAGGAGATCGATACTTTGAAGAAAATGCGTCACAAGCGCATCGTCCGATACCTGGGCTCGGAAACTGTGAGTTTGGGTCTAGTCCCTAGTCCCAAAACAAGCCTCTAGTCTCTAAAATCTCATGAGCGCATGGTCTGATACCTGGGCTCGGAAACTGTGCTCTTGGCTTGCTTTCTACTGCTGCTTCTAGTCTCTAGATGCTCTCACTCGCACAAACACTTGGATACTGTGAGCTGCTTGTTGCTTTGTTTCGAAAACTGCTTCCAGATGGGTGCAAGCAAGTCCTCGACCAGTTCTCCTATCCCTGACAAGTGCATGTACCTGTTCGCTGAGTACATGGACACATCGCTCTCCAAGTACCTGGAGGTCTTTGGCCCCTTGGATTAGAGGAGCACCAGGTGTCACTATGCCCGTCTCAAATTACAATCCCCATGTCCATCCCCCTCTTCGCTCCACCCCCTCTCCTCCCCCTCCAGGACGACAAGTGCATTTACCTCTTTCTCGAAGACATGGACACATCACTATCTAAGTATCTAGAGGACTTTGGCCCCTTGGAGGAGCACCACTTGACATGCTTGTGTCTCTCCCCGCCTCCCCTCTCCTTCCATCTTCTCTCCCCCATACCAACCCTGCTCTCCTCTACGCCAGGACGACAAGTGCATGTATCTCTTTCTCGAGTACATGGACACATCGCTCTCCAAGTACCTGGAGGACTTTGGCCCCTTGGAGGAGCATCAGATCGCCAAGTACACTCGCCAGCTGCTGGAGGGGCTGGCTTACCTGCATGACAACAACATCGTTCATCGGTGGGTGGTTGAGGAGAAGAGAGGGTTGAGATTTAGGGGCTTGAAAGTGGGTGCTTGGCTCAGCCGTTACCTGAAAGTGGTTCCAGTATAGGGTTGAGGCTTAAGGGCTGGCTTTCGAGTCGACTCAAAAGGCACCTGGAGGACTTTGGCCCCTTGGAGGAGCACCAGATCGCCAAGTACACTCGCCAGCTGCTCGAGGGGCTGGCGTACCTGCATGACCACAACATCGTGCACCGGTGGGTGGGTTAGTAGGGTGGTGTGCGGTTGAGGTGGGCGGAAGGTAGGGCTGCTATTGGGAGGCGTTGCTGGAGGGGCTGGCGTACCTGCATGACCACAACATCGTGCACCGGTGGGTGGGTTAGTAGGGTGGTGTGCGGTTGAGGTGGGTGGGTGGGTGGGTGAGTGGGTGGGGGGGCGGGGAACTGGGGGGCTGGGTGGATGACCACAACATCGTTCACCGGTGGGTGGGTGGGCGTGCGTCAGGTTGGTGGGTGCTTGGGTTCAAATGAGTGGCGCAGTTATAATGACTCTGAGGCCTTTCTGTACTGTTCTTTCTTCCCTTTTGTGTCATTATTACTTACTTGCAACCGACAGGGATGTGAAGGGGAAGAACATTCTGACTTTTGAGGCGCCTCAAAAGGCGCAGTTATAATGACTCTGAGGCCTTTCTGTACTGTTCTTTCTTCCCTTTCGTGTCATAATTACTTACTTGCAACCGACAGAGACGTGAAGGGGAAGAACATTCTGCTGGATACCAAGGGAAACGCCAAGCTCGCTGACTTTGGTGTAGCGAAATATGTGAGTCACCTCTCATTCCGTCTCTCCGTTTCAGGGTGTTTTTGAGAATTCTCAAAAACACCCTGCACTTTGGTGTAGCGAAATACGTGAGTCACCTCTCATTCCGTCTCTCCGTTTCTCCCCACCCTCTCACTCCTCTTTGCCTATCCGCTTCCCCCTCACCTCACAACCCCCCTCTCCATGGCTTTTCATCATTTTCTCTCATTTCCCTTCTCATCGTTTTGTCTTCATGCTCATCTATCATTGCACATAATGTATCACACATCCCACATCCTGAATCCCATCCCACACCACATCACGCATCACACATCACGCATCACACATCACCCATCGCACATCACCCATCACACATCACGCATCACACATCACCCATCGCACATCACCCATCACACATCACGCATCACGCATCACGCATCACACATCACGCATCACACATCCCATACACGGCATGGCACATGGGCAGGTGGAGACGCCATCAGACATGTCGGGCATGCGCGGCACTGTGTGGTGGATGGCGCCTGAGGTGAGTTTTGAGCCCTCACCTCCGCCCCTCTCCTTCCCTTGATTGGGGCCATGGTGTGATTCTGGCATGAGGTGACTATGGCATGTGGGCAGACTCAGGCATGCGCGGCACCGTGTGGTGGATGGCGCCTGAGGTGAGTTGCGAGCCCCCCCCCCTGGGTGTGGCATGAGGTGAGCCTTCCCCACCCTAACCTGGGTGAGGCACAGGGTGATTGGGGTGGGGTCCCATCTCCCGCGTGGCACATGAGGTGAGGGCGAGGTGAGAGAGAGAGTCGTACCTACCCAGCCGTACCTCAAGCCTGGTTGGTTGTACTGGCTGGGTAGAACGCGTTAGTACTAGCAGTGCTGGTTGGGTATGCAGGGTACGGTGTGTGTGTGGTGGGTAGTGCCTGAGGTGGATCTGGAGTGGAGTTAACCCGGGTGGGGCATGCGGTGGTGATTCTGGTGTGAGGTTGTGGCTTGTGGGGGCTATGTCATGCCACAGCTTCACGTCATATGCTGAGGCTGTGCCGGTGGTTAAATGCTCATCCTTAGGGATGAGCTGAGCAATATAACGAACTCCTTTTCGGTTCGCTAAATTGTTCGGGGCGAACGTGTTCGGTGTTCGCCCGAACACGTTCGCTGTTCGCCCGGCTCAGCTGGCCGAGGCGCGTCGAACACGAACGTGTTCGTGTTCGACACGGGCCTTCGACAAACACCAATGTGTTCGTCGACGAATAGGCCCGCGACCAATTTTTAGGTCGCGGGCCTTGGTGTTTGGGCTCAGATTTGGCATTTCGCCGTTCCTTAAGTGCAGATCGAGCATTTCGCCGTTGCTTAAGTGCAGATCGAGCATTTCGCCGTTGCTTAAGTGTAGATCGAGCATTTCGCCGTTGCTTAAGTGCAGATCGAGCATTTCGCCGTTGCTTAAGTGCATATCTAGCATTTCGCCGTTGCTTAAGTGCAGATCTAGCATTTCGCCGTTGCTTAAGTGCAGATCTAGCATTTCGCCGTCACACGCTGGCATTAGCATGGATGAAGCAGGGCGGGACTGGCTTGGGGGGTGGGGGGAGGGAATGTGCAACGATTTGAACTTTTACTCTATTTGGACCTTACAGCCACCTAACAAATATCAACAATGCACAATCCACAAACGTGTGACTTTAGTGAATGTAGTCCCGGGGCGAACACGAACGTGTTTGCCACGAACACGTTCGTGTTCCCCTGCATCAACAAGGTGTTCGCCTTCACAGGCGAACGGCGAACACCCTTTTTTGCTAAAGCTGTTCGGCGAACCGAACAGTGTTCGGTCCGCCGAACGGCGGTGTTCGTGCAGGAGCGAACGCGAACACGTTTGTGTTCGCCTCTTGCTCATCCCTCCTTGCTCTGTTTTGTGTGTGTGTGTGTGTGTGTGTGTTTTTTTTTTTGCTCCGTTTTGTGTGTGTGTGTGTGTGTTTTTTTTTTTTTTTTTTTGTTTTTTTTTTTTTTTTGCTCCGTTTTTTGTGTGTGTGTGTGTGTTTTTTTTGCTCCGTTTGTGTTCCTTGCTTCATCCATAAAATCCTTGCCTACCCACTTCACTGCCCGCTTCCCCCCAGGTGGTCAACAAGCGGCCGGACGGGTACAACTGGCCGGTGGACATCTGGAGTTTGGGCTGCACTGTTATCGAGATGGCCATGCGGGTTTTTATAAACGCCTGCTCACTTCAACTCCTCGACATCCCCACCCCTCTCTGCCCCTCCGCTCCCTCCTTTCCTCCTCCCAGGTGATCAACAAGCGGCCGGACGGGTACAACTGGCCGGTGGACATCTGGAGTCTCGGTTGTACTGTCATTGAGATGGCCATGCGGGTTGTCGATAAGCGTCTGCGCATCCCTTGGCTTGACATCGAAGGCAAGCCGCCCTGGGGGGCGTCGCCCACTGACGGGGTGAGTCTGGTCAACTCAAGGGTCCGTCAGCATGTTAGGGTTTTCCACACACAAGCGTCTGCGCATTCCTTGGCTCGACATCGAAGGCAAGCCACCCTGGGGGGCGTCGCCCACTGACGAGGTAAGCTGAACCGATGGGGGGTGAGGTTCTGAGTCGACTCAGGAGGCACCTTGTTAGGGCTGTCACGTACAAGCGTCTGCGCATCCCCTGGCTTGACATCGAAGGCAAGCCACCCTGGGGGGCGTCGCCCACTGACGAGGTAAGCTGAACCGATGGGGGGTGAGGTTCTGAGTCGACTCAGGAGGCACCTTGTTAGGGCTGTCACGTACAAGCGTCTGCGCATCCCCTGGCTTGACATCGAAGGCAAGCCACCCTGGGGGGCGTCGCCCACTGACGAGGTAAGCTGAACCGATGGGGGTGAGGTTCTGAGTCGACTCAGGAGGCACCTTGTTAGGGCTGTCACGTACAAGCGTCTGCGCATCCCCTGGCTTGACATCGAAGGCAAGCCACCCTGGGGGGCGTCGCCCACTGACGAGGTAAGCTGAACCGATGGGGGTGAGGTTCTGAGTCGACTCAGGAGGCACCTTGTTAGGGCTGTCACGTACAAGCGTCTGCGCATCCCCTGGCTTGACATCGAAGGCAAGCCACCCTGGGGGGCGTCGCCCACTGACGAGGTAAGCTGAACCGATGGGGGGTGAGGTTCTGAGTCGACTCAGGAGGCACCTTGTTAGGGCTGTCACGTACAAGCGTCTGCGCATCCCCTGGCTTGACATCGAAGGCAAGCCGCCCTGGGGGGCGTCGCCCACTGACGAGGTGAGTTTCTTCTCTGGGGTGGAGTGCCTGTGCATCCCCTGACTGGACACAGGGGGCAGGACGGCCCGCAAACCCGAAACCCCTATTGATGGGGTAAGGCTCTGAATCAACTCCCAGCAGTCAGCTTGTCATTCTGATGCACACGCGCCTGTGCAGCGCACCCCCTGGCTGGACACAAAGGGGCGTGTCGCCTCTCCCTCGCCTCTCCCTCGCCTCTCCCTCGCCTCTCCCTCGCCTCTCCCTCGCCTCTCCCTCGCCTCTCCCTCGCCTCTCCCTCGCCTTGTCCTCGCCTCCCTCCCCGGCCCTCCCCTACCTTAGGTGATGGGTATCCTGCATAACCACAACCCCCCCGCCCATCCCCAGCCACCTCTCAGACTGCGCCAAGCACTTCCTCCACCACTGCCTTGCACTCAACCCCTCCTTCCCTCCCACCCTTCCCCTCTTCCCCTCCCCCAGATGGCGGCTATTCTGAGAATAGGCGGCACAACAACCCCACCGCCCATCCCCAGCCACCTCTCAGACTGCGCCAAGGACTTCCTCCGCCACTGCCTCGCTGTCAACCCCTCCCACCGCCTGCGAGCCCACAAGCTCATGCAGCATGTGTTTGTCGCAGGGCCAGTGCCCGTGGGGATGGGGTTGAGCAGTGGAGGCATGGGCAGTGGAGGCATGAGTAGTGGAGGCATGAGTTCGGGTCATTTGGACGCTCCTCGCTCCCCCAGGTAAGCCGATGCCCATGCCCATCCCATGCACCTCCTCCCCCTCCCATCGCCTGAGAGCACACAAGCTCATGCAGCATGTGTTCGTCGCAGCGCCAGTGGGCCCCAGTCCCATGCCCGTAGGGGTGGGGATGAGCGGGGCGGGCATGAGTGGCGGAGGGATGAGTGGGGGCATGAGTTCAGGTCATATGGACGCTCCTCGCTCCCCCAGGTAAGTCCATTCACCCCCCACCCTTGCTCAAGTAAGCCCATGCACCCATCCTTGTTGCTTCTCCTGCTGCCACTTAATTGATCTTGTCCGCTCTTCTTTCTTTCATCCTGATTCTCCCCTCTCCCTCGGTTTTCATCCCACCTCTTCACCCTCTCTTGCCTTTCAACCCATTTCTCCCAGGTCGGTGTCCTCCCAGCCCTCCTATCCTTCCCCATGGGAGCAACCTTCGTACCATCAACAGCAGCAACAGCAACAGCAACAGCAGCAGTATCAGCAGCAGCAACAGCATCAACAACAACAGCAGCAGCACCAACAGCAGCAACAACAGCAGCAGCAGCAACAACAGCACCTCAATTATCAGCAGCAGCAACACCCGTCTTGGCGCGATTCCGGTCCGATTCCATCCGGGCCTCCGTCCTCCATGCCTCCTTCCTCAGGCCCGGCGTTGTCCGGACCTGGCATGTACTCCGGCCCTGCTGCCGGACCTGGCAGGCACGGATGGAGGGACGACATGGCTGCCCGGGATTATAATGCCGGACCTCCGTATTTCCCAGGCTCGGCAGCAGGCTTGGTGGCCAACGGAGGTGGGAGAATGAGCCCACAGCATATGTACTCAAGGGGGCAAAACAGCAGTGAGTTTGGGCTAGAGGAAAGAGGAGGGGGAGGGGGAGGAGGGGGAGTGATACCACCTGCTAGGACCCGCAGCAGCCCAACTGTTGACCTGCGAGAGATGGCTGATCATGCCGAAGCTTTTCTCAATAATAACGCTGGTGCGAGTGGCGGGGGGTTTGCTGCTGGTGATGGGGCTGGTGCTACCAGAACCGGACCAGAGCCGCTGTTTGGTGGCAGTGGCATTGGCAGCGGCGGCGGTGGTAGGAGGGATCCAGAGCCTTTGTTTGGCGGCAGTGGCAGTGGCGGCGGCGGCAGGGGTGACCCAGAGCCTTTGTTTGGTGGCAGTGCCAGCGGTGTCGGCGGTGGTAGGAGGGATCCAGAACCTTTGTTTGGTGGCAGTGGCATTGGCGGTGTTGGTGTTGGTAGGGGGGACCCGGAGCCTCTGTTTGCAGCAGGTCCTGCAACTTCTGCTGCTGGTGGCAGTGTGGGTGGTTTGGCTGGTAATGGTGGTCCGGAGCCGTTGTTCCGAGGCTCGGGTGGCGGTTCGGGTCCCGAGCCTCTCTTCTCCGCCAGCAGCACTGCAGCTTCCAGCGCTAGTGGTAGAAGCCATTCAGGTTCGGGCCCCGAGCCTCTTTTCCCGAGCCAGGACAACCGGACCTCACCTCCTCCTCATCACCAGTACCAGCAGCAGCAGCAGATGCCTCTCGACCGCACACGCAGTCCCACATCTAATGAGTTACAACCCGTTGGAGGCACAGGCAGCAGCAGCAACAACAGTATTAATTACCCAGGCAAATCCCCGCCTAGAAGCAAGCCTAAATCCCTCTCCGGCCCTCTCACGCCGCCCCGCCGCCGCCCGGACAGAGAGTCAGGACGCACATACAGCCATGGAATGCCGGCCCTTCCAGACCAAGCAGCTTACCTGGAGGAGAGTGAAGGGGCGGGGGATCGGCCATATAGCGGTGGTGGGAGATCGTTGGGGGGAGAGCAAGATGGGTATCCATCGTATGACCGAGAGAGAGAAAGAGAGAGGGAGCAGGATAGGGAAAGGTGGGAGAGGGAGAGGGAGCGGGAGAGGGAGCGGGAGAGAGAGCGGGAGAGGGAAGGGTATAGCCATAGGCAAATGTCGTCTGGACCAGAGCCTGGTGCGTATGCTCCCACTGGTTCTCTTCCTTATCACCACCAGAACTCGCAGCAGCAGCAGCAGCAGCAGCAGCAGTATGGTGGGTTGGAACAACGGCAGTCTGTACAGGATCAGCCTATATCGAGACGATCTCCTGAGCCATCTTCCCCCCGATCACCCTCAAGCTATGGGCGTGCAAAGCCTTTGTTCCCCGATGGGGGCATGGGTGGGGGTGGGATTGGCAGTGGCAGTGGCAGCAGCAGCAGTAGCGGTGGTGGGTTTGGTGCTGGTGGTGGGGGTGGTGGTGGTGCTGGTGGTGGTGGTGGGGGTGGAGGGATGTATGGGGCCCCTCATGGCCTTTCTCCTCCTCCTCCACCTCCTCAGATGGTCGCTAGGGGGAGTAGTGCAGATGGGTATGGCAGTGGTGGAGATGGGTATGGCAGCGGTGGGGATGGGTACGGTGGCGGTGGCGATCGGTTTGGTGGTGGAGGGCCAGTGGGGCATTGGAATCAGAGGTAAGAGGGTCGTTTTATGCCTTCTCTTGTTTGTTTTTGTCTCCTTTCTGACTTTTCTTGTTTTCTTAGGTATTCTTTCTGTCTCCTCTTGTTTCCCAACTCATCATTTTCCTCATCCCTCCTCTCTTCTCCACCTCCCTTCCCTTCCCCACCCATCACCCTGAGCAGAGACGTTTCCCCACACCGAGCTTCCTCCCTCTCCATCCCCCCACACGACCGCCCCCACAACTTCCCCTTGCAAGGCCCCCACACGGCTCCCTTGCACCAGTCACCCAGCCAGTACCCCTACTCTTCCCAGCAAAACCCATACCACCACCCCCAACCGCAGCAGAACCCCTCTTACCCCCAGCGGCCTTACGACCACTACCCCCCGCCGCCGCCTAACCAATACTCCCAGCAGATGTGGCAGGGTGGGGGGGGGGGAGGAGGGGGAGGAGGGGGGCGGATGGGGGGTGGGTGGGAACAGGGGGCAGAGGGAATGGGTGGGTATGGTTCTTCAACTCAAGTCTCTGGTGCTGGTGGTGGGGGTTATTCTGGTAATATACGGGGGGACATGAGAGGAGGTATGGGCCCAGGCATGGTAGCAGGTTCGGGATCAGGTATGGGTCAAGGTTCAAGGCCAGGTTCGGGAGCTGGTCTGGGCTCTGGACCAGGCCCAGGTCTGGGACCTCAGGGTTTCAATGGTGGTGGCGGCGGTGGAGGTGATCGTGGTCATGGGAATGGCACTGGTGGTGGATATGGTGGTGATTATATGGGGCAGCCTGTAGGGCTAGGGGGAATTGGACGGACCCTCTCTACAGGGGAGTGGGAGCAGAGGCAGCATAAAAATCAGTATATAAACCAAAGCTACAGTAACGCGCCGATATCTAGCACTTACAATGTGGGTGGAGGAGCTGGGGGAAGGTATAGTAATGGTCCAGGTTCAATGTATGGAGGCGGAGGACGTGGGGGTTCCCCGGTTCCTCCTCAGCAGTACATGCAACAGTCGCACTGGCAACAGCCTGGGCCTGAGCAGTTACGGGGGTCGGGAGGAAGTGGTAACGTTGGTAACAGCGGGGATTTAAGCGGGACGGGATCTGCATGGCAGCAGTACCAGGCTAGAAGGGCATCGCATGGTATGCACCCGCAGCAGCAACACCAGTGATTTGCCATAGTATTTATTTCTAGCTAAGTGGTGAAGAACGATGTCATGCAGCGTTTTGAGAATCGAAAAGGAAATGGGGAAGTGTCATGTCAAAATATCTATGGTGTTCTTAGTCATGATATTGGCCTGTGAAGTGAAATTGTCTGATATTGTATTACATCATACGTTTGATGTCGCTCTCAGTTCCAGCTCCTTTGATTGCCCTGTATGTAACGTACGGCATTCTCAAGGCTCGCGGAACTCGCGAATCTAGCACAGCCCTCGCCCTTGAATTGCTCTTGCAGAACGGGTGTCCCGAAAGGTTCAATACTGCATACAACCCTTCTGTAATCGTTATCTACCACTCTAGAACGCGAAACACCTTATGGAGCCGCATCCCGAGCCCCGACGATTTTCAGCAGCACACAAATCAAGCAGCCTCCTTGCTGTCTATTGCCTGCAGTTGTTTCTTTGTTGTGAGTTCTTGAATTTGCAACACCCCGCGGAGCTTTCTCTTCAAATCTCTCCCGGCGCATCGCTGCGTCGTGCAGGCCTCCTTTCTTGACCGAAAATTCGCGGTTAGACTACGTGCATATTTTGCTTCTCCTCCGTTTGCGAATCCACGCGAGATATGGCGGGAATCCGTGCCGCGTTCCTCCCGCTGCTGCTTCTCGCCGGCCTTACCGCGTGCGCGGGATTCTCCGCCAGGCCGTTCTTTCCCGGCGTATCTGTTGAAACTCCCCAAAAGGGATTCTCCGCCAGAACGTTATTTCCTGGCGTCCTTCGCCTGCCGTTGGCTGACGTGGCAGAGCCTCAGCAACTGCTGCTGCAGCAGCAGCAACAGCAAGACGCCGACGCGGAAAATGACGGCACCGGCAGCCGCAGCAGCAGCAGGATTGGACTGAGAGGAAGCGGCTCCTTTCTTGCGAGAGACGCGGTTGATACTTCGCAGAGGCAGGAGCCGCAGCTGCCGAATCAGAAGGAGAAGAAGCTGAAGCTGAAGCAGCCTCCCCCGTGTAAGCAGCCTGCAACCATCCCCAAGATAAGAGCCTTTTCCTGGGTAAACATTCTTCTGTACTGGAAAAAGACAAGAGAGAGAGAAAAAGAGACAACTGTAGCAAAAAAAACAGTAGTATTTGCTTTCAAAACCTCACGTCTAGCATGTTTCTTCCGTTATTTCTTCTGCTCTTTCTTTTGGTCGAGTGTGCTTACAGCGCAGGGAGTGGCGTACCGTGCAGTGCCTGATCCCGACCTCGCAAGCCCCCCGTTTGAGTCACCCTACACGGCCCCTGACATTCCCTTGGACTATCACCAGCAGAACGGCACCAACTACCCCGAGCAGGTCAGTCAGTTGTCTGGATGCTCTTAGCACTCCCGTTTGAGTCACAACCTACACGGACCCGAGGAAGGGCTCCTGACATTCCCTTGGTTGAACCACCACCAGCAGAACGGCACTAACCACCCCGAGCAGGTCTGGTTGCTACAGCGGGAATGAGCGTGTTTGCTGCTAGCAGGTGAGTCTGGCTGTTATTGGCAGACGAATGTTGAGTCAACCTACACGGCTCCTGACATTCCCTTGGTTGGACTACCGCCAGCAGAACGGCACTAACCACCCCGAGCAGGTCAGCCTGCTCTATGCATGATCCTAGCACTCCCTCTTGAATAAGGTTCACAGATGCACGTTTGAATCACCCTACACGGCTCCTGACATTCCCTTGGTTGGACTACCACCAGCAGAACGGCACTAACCACCCCGAGCAGGTGCTTCTCGCCCCAGATTCTCCTGATGGTCTCTTCTTGTTTGTACGGTGCAGCATCCGCAACACCATGCCATTTAGCCCATGCGAGATGAAGCACCAGTTGCCCCAACTTATGCTTTCTTCTCCCCCACCTTTTCTCCTCCCTCCCTCACCCTTCTTCTTCCTCAGGTGTTTCTCGCCCCGGCTTCTCCCGATGGTCTTTTCATGTTTGTACGGTTTGTCATCCCCAATATATCATGCCGTTAAACGCATGCGAGAAGAGGCACAAGCTGCCCATGCTTATGCGCTCTTCACCCCTCTTCCCTCCACCCTCCACCCTCCCCCCTCCCTTTTCTCTGCCCAGGTGCTTCTCGCCCCAGCTTCTCCCGATGGCCTTTTCATGTTTGTACGGTTTGTCATCCCCAACATCATGCCGTTAAGCGCATGTGAGAGGAGGCACAAACTTCCGATTGACCTGCTCACGGAACTAGGGGAAGAGGCAGGGCGTGTCATCAAGTCTAGTGAGGGGAAAGCAGGTGTGGGGGAGGAGGAAGAGGACGAGAAGGACGCGAAGGAGGGGGAGGGAGGAGAAGAAGAAGGGGAGGAGGGGGAAGAGAGGGAGGTGGAGGGGGGTTTTGTGGAAGGCGGGATGGGTGCGAGCAAGTGCAGGCGCAAGCGCTCTGTGCTTTATGGCACGGACCCCAACGCCCTCAACCAGTCAGCAAGGTGCAGCAAGATCCATGTGCTAATTAAAATTGGAAAGGCAAACTTTGTTCATCTGCGCAAGCGCTCCCTGCACTATGGCACGGACCCAAACGCCCTCAACCAATCAGCCAGGTGGGGCAGGATCCATGTGTACACACAGACCTAACAGGTACTCTATTCATCTCAATGAGCAGGCGCAAGCGCTCCGTGCACTATGGCACGGACCCAAACGCCCTCAACCAGTCAGCAAGGTGGGGCAGGATCCATGTGTACACACAGACCTAACAGGTACTCTATTCATCTCAATGAGCAGGCGCAAGCACTCCGTGCACTATGGCACGGACCCAAACGCCCTCAACCAGTCAGCAAGGTGGGGCAAGGTCCACATGTACACCTAAAATGGGAGGGTAACTTGGTTGGTTCGCCTCAATGTGGAGGAGCACAACCCAACACTCTTAACCAGTTGGTCAGGTAGGGCACATTTCAACCTTACACCTTAAATGGGAGGGTAACTTGGTTTGCCTCAATCTGCAGCCGCCCTCCTTCCCTTCCCCCCCTTTTTTCCCCTCCGTCCCTTCTTTCCTCCCCCCTGTTATGACCAGTGGTCATTCCTTCCGCTATGCATTCGCAGAGGGCACAGACGGAGCATACGTGTCGGGAGATACATTCTTCATCCCCATCGGCCCACTCGTCCCCGCAACGCGCTACTTCTATCGAATCGAGGGCTCCCCAACCACCCACTCCTTCACCTCGCTTCCTTCTCCTGGCTCTGCTTCCGCCTACCCGTTCAAAGTCGCACTTGTGGGTGAGTTGTGAGTCTGTTTCTCGCCCTGGGGTATGTGGCCTCCACCACCCACCCTCTCGTTCCCCTCCCTTCCACGCGCTACTTCTACCGAATCGAAGGCTCTCCCATCACACGCTCCTTCGTGTCTCTCCCTGCCCCTGGCTCTGCTTCCGCCTACCCGTTCAAAGTCGCACTTGTGGGTGAGTTTATTCATAGTCAGATGAGTCAGGATAGGGGCCAGTCGGATTTTGCGTATTCCAGTTGACTGCTTCAACCCGTCGGCCCGTTCCGCTCCACCCCTCCACTTGTGGTGTGTCTGTTTCTCTCTTATGTAACAACTCCTTTTTTACCATGAGGCTCAGACGCTCAGCAGCAGCACCACCACATTTGACCGTGTCAAAGGCGAAAGTGAAGTTCGGAGACGTCTCAAAACTTCACTGTCTACACTCAGACGCTCCCTGGCCCCTGTCAATGAGGCTCATGCGCTCAGCAGCAGCGCCACATTTGACCATGTCAAAGCCCACAGGTCCAGCCTGGTGCTGCTCGCATGCTGAATGTTCTTCCCCTCCTCGTTTTGGTCTCCATTGCCCCGATCCGCCAGGCGATGTGGCTCAGACGCTCAGCAGCAGCGCCACATTTGACCATGTCAAAGCCCACAGGTCCAGCCTGGTGCTTCTCGCAGGGGAGCTGAGTGCTCTCCTCCCGTCCTCTTTCCCCTCTTTTTCCATCTGGCCTCCCTCCTTCTCTTCCCCGTGCCCTGTCCCCATGGCCCCTCTCCTTCTTCAGGCGATGTGGGTCAGACGCTCAACAGCAGCACCACATTCGACAACGTGAAAGCCGGCAACCCCAGCCTGGTGCTGTTCTCGGGGGACCTGAGCTCTTTCGCCTCCTGCTTCCCACCTCACCTCTATCCCCTCTGCCCTCCATGCCATAATTGCCCCACATCCTCCCCGCCAGGCGATGTGGGTCAGACGCTCAACAGCAGCACCACATTCGACAACGTGAAAGCCGGCAGCCCCAGCCTGGTGCTGTTTGCAGGGGATCTTAGCTACGCTGACCAGTACGGCCCACCGCACTGCACACCTATGGACTCTGCTCAATCTCTCCTGACTGCTGATTCTCCTGAGGCTGGCGGAAAGAGCGAGAGCGAGAGGGAAAGGACGAGCAAGATATGTGGGCTGGGAGGGGTGCGCTGGGACTCCTATGGCCGCTTGTCCGAGAAAGTATTTGCTCATATCGTAAGTTCCTCTGCGAGCCTTGGTGCATCTTGTGTGTTTTTCCTGTCACCCGCACTGAGGAGAGGATCCCTCTTGGGAGGAGCAAGATTTGTGGGCTGGGCGGAGTGCGCTGGGACTCCTATGGCCGCTTGTCCGAGAAAGTATTCGCCCAGATATATCGTAAGTTCTTCTGAAGTTCTTCGCCCAGATCGCCCAGGTATCGTAAGTTCCTCTGCGAGCGCGATTTTGAGAATTTTCAAATGCGGCACGATTCTTGGTGCATCTTGTGCCATTCTTTTTTCATAAAGAGCTTCCAGCACTGCTATGTTTCACGAGAAATGTTCCTTTATGGAAAATGCACCAAGATGTTCTTGTGACGCAAAGAATCTCCAGCACTGCTATCCTCGCCTGCCGCTGCCACGTGTAGCTTATGCTAATACATGCATATACATATATATATATATACAAATACAAATACAATAACAAAAACAAAAACGATATTCAAGGTGTCCCATCTGTACGTACTCTCCTCGCCTGCTGCTGCCAGCCTGTGGCGCACGTCCCAGGGAACCATGAGATCGAGCTCGTGCCGAGGTGGGGCGAGCTGCGGCCGTTCAAAGTGTATTCTGCACGGATCCCCCCTCTGCTGCACCACCACCACCCGCTGCTGGCGAGCCTGCTGTCCAAGGTGAGGGCTGTGGGTTGTGGCTTCTCATAGCGCTGAGAGCTGTCGTTGCAGCTCGCTAAAATGCGTCTCGTCTACTCCTTGGACATTCCACCCTCTTATGTATTTCCTCGCCCTTTCATTTCTTGCTTCACCCCCTCGTGGTATCAGGCAGGATCAATCCTTCTCATTACCACCACCATCATCACCACCACCATGCATACCCCTTTCCACTCTTTGTTGTGTGTCCCTATCTCCTTCAAATTCCTTTTGATCAGCACCACCACCATGCGTAACCATCCAAGGCGTGTCTCTTTTACTCCATGGACATCGGCTCCTCTTCTACTTCCGAGAGCCACTTTTCTCTTATGCGTCCCTCTCTCCTCCATCCCTCTCTCTTGCCTTGCCTCACCCGTTTGGTATCAGGCTGGACTTACTCCCAACCACCATCACCATCATCATCACCACCATGCGTACCCGGCCAAGGCACCGCTCTTCTACTCCATGGACATCGGCCCCGTGCATGTGATCGCCATCAACTCCTACTCGCCTTTCGTTATCTACACGCACCAGGTAATGTGGGGTGGTGTCTGTCATGTGGTGTGGTGTGGTATGGTGTGGTGTGATTCAGTGCGGTGCAGTGTGGCGTGGTGTGGTAAGTAGCCTCTCTTCTACTCATTGGACATCGGCCCAGTGCATGTGATTGCTGTCAACTCCTACTCGCCCTTCGTTATCTACACGCACCAGGTAATGTGGGGTGGTGTGTGGTGTGGTGAGGTGTGCTGTGCTGTGGTGTGGTGTGGTGTGGTGTGGTGGTGTGTGGTGTGGTTCACTGTGGTGTGGTAACTAATCTTTTCTACTCTCTGGACATCGGAACTGTGCATGTGTTCGCAATCGACTCCTACTCGCCTTTCGTTATCTACACGCACCAGGTAGCACAGTTAGATGCAAGGGACAGGCATATGGTGTGGTGAGTAGTGGGGTGCACTGTGGTGTGGTGCGGTGCTGTGTGGTGTGGTGGTTCCACTCTTCTATTCCCCTGGACATCGGCCCAGTGCACATGATCGCTATCAACTCCTACTCGCCCTTCCTCATCTACATGCACCAGGAAGGATGGGGTGTGGTGTGGTGTGGTGAGGTGCGGTGTGGCATGGTTCAGTGTGGCGTGGTGTGGCGTGGTGTGGTGTGGTGTGGTGTGGTGGGGTGGGGTGGGGTGTGGTGGGATGGGGTGGGGTGGATGTGTACTCTCACTTAGTAGGTCTGGGGTGTGTTGGATAGGATAACCAAGAAGCTAAGGTCGTTCGATTCGATTCGTACTTTTCCTCTTGTGCATCTTGTGTGTCATCCCCATGCCACGTGGCACAGTGGTACTGGCTGCGGGACGACCTGTGCCGCATCGACCGCGAGAAAACCCCGTGGGTGGTGGCGTTCATGCACGTGCCTCTCTACAACAGCAACGATGGGCACTACTTGGAGGTATGGCTGTAGCAGTTGGATGGAGAAAGTGTATGAGGCAGGTGCAGTGCATGTGACAGCTGGAAAGGGCGATCAACCACAAGTGGTGGCACTGTGAAGTGGGTGGTGGCGTTCATGCACGTGCCTCTCTACAACAGCAACGACGGGCACTACTTGGAGGTACGGCCTATGAGGTGACAGTTGGACGTGATGGCTGCATTAGTTGTGCCCCTGTCAAGTGCGTGGGTCGTGGCGTTCATGCACGTGCCTCTCTACAACAGCAACGACGGGCACTACTTGGAGGTACGGCCTATGAGGTGACAGTTGGACGTGATGGCTGCATTAGTTGTGCCCCTGTCAAGTGCGTGGGTCGTGGCGTTCATGCACGTGCCTCTCTACAACAGAAACGACGGGCACTACTTGGAGGTGAGGCTGTGGTTGCTGTGTGTGCTTGTCACAGCTGGATAGGTCGGCATTTAACCGGTACCTGTGCCACTGTCAAGTGCGTGAGTGGTGGCGTTCGTGTATGTGCCTCTCTGCAACAGCAGCGACGGGCACTACTTGGAGGTACAGGGTGTGCCAGGTGCATGTGGCAGTTACATGGAGTGAGTAACCACTACTTGTGACACTATCAAGTGGGCCGTGGCGTTCATGCACCTGCCTCTCTGCAACAGCAGCGACGGGTACTACCTTGAGGTATGGGTGTGACAGTCGCATGTGAATTTGACAGCTGCATATACCATCTGCAGGGGACAAATGTAGCCAACAGGTGCCTTAAGTGCTGAGCTAACTTCTCGGTTCTCTGTGTGCGTGGATGAAATTTTGCTGTTCCTGCCGTCTCCCCTGTTCCCCTTTGCCCACCTATCTTTTTCTTCTCAGGGCGAGCCAATGCGGTACGAGATAGAAGAGTGGTTGCACGAGGCAGGGGTGGATCTGGTGGCGAGCGGGCACGTGCATGCATACGAGCGCAGCTACCCTGTGTACGGGATGAAGCGCATGGAGAACGGGTGTGCCGCCGTGCATGTGACAGTTGGGGATGGTGGCAACATTGAAGAGATCGCCGGCCCGTGAGTGCTCTTTGTTATGCTACAAGCACAGTTGCGCTGTCTATCATGGCATGAAGCGCATGGAGAATGGGTGTGCTGCCGTGCATGTGACTGTGGGGGATGGTGGCAACATTGAAGAGATCGCCGGCCCGTGAGTGCTCTTGCTCTCCGTTACTATCAGCTTCTTTACTGGATCTGGGGTGGATGTGGTGGGGTGTTTTGAGGCACCACAGAAGCTCCGTAACGGGCGGATCTGGTGGCGAGTGGGCACGTGCATGTGTGCGAGCGCAGCTACCCCGTGTCTGGCATGAGGAGACTTTTCAAGTGAATTTTGAGAATTCTCAAAAGTGAGTCAACCAGACACCTTTTTTGAGGCGCCTCAAAAAAAGAATTCTCCAAAGTGAGTCAACCAGACACCTTTGACACCGCTCGTGTCAGGAGCACATTCTTTAAGTGCCGTTTTTTTTTGTTTTGTTTTTTTTTTTGTTTTTTGTTTGGTCCTGTGCAGTTTCCTTGAGCCGCAGCCGTCGTACAGCGCGTATCGTGAGGAGTCGTTTGGGCATGCTGAGCTGGTGTTTAACGACAATCACACCGCCACCTACAGCTGGTGTGTTCTTTTTGTTGCCCCGAGATCTTCTGTTCTCCAACGACTAAGGATCTGCTTTTTCAGAATTCTCAAAGAAATCCTGTTCTCCTTAGTCGACTAAGGATCAACTCTGATATCATTCGACAAAGGGAACAAAAGTTAGTGTTTTCTCTTTCTTCTTTCTCTTTCTCTTTCTGTTCATTTCCTTTGTGCTGCTGGTGGCTATTTTTGTTGCTCCACGTGCGCAGGTACCGCAACCACCAGGGATCGGGCGTGCTCGCGGATTCCTTCACGCTTCTCAATCGCGCCAACAGCTGCGGCGGCCTTCGCCGCCCATCCTTCTGCTCCTCCTAGCCTGGGGAATATAAACTACGGGGATAGAAAGAAGCAGTGTGGACGAACAATCAGACTCTCAATTTGGTGTTCTTGCTGATTCCTTCACTCTTCTTACCTTCATGCCAACAGCCGCAGCAGCCTCTGCCGCCCTTTCCCTGCTCCTACCAGCTTGAGGTGACTTTTGAGTCGATGCAAGAATCCTTTTTGAGTTTGTGAGTAAGATGTTTGGAGATATAAGTACGGTAGTTCTCAGGATTTCTCTGAAGAGCCCCTCCACCCACCCTAGTGTTACTCCAGCCGGGAAAAAGGTCGTTTGGGAATTAAAACAGTCTGGATTGGAGGGTGCTTTTAAGATTTTTCATTAGGGCCCCTCTCCGCCGCCCTCGCCGCCCTTCTGCCTTAGCCCCCTCACTCGCTCTCATTGTTCTGTAGACCACCAAGGTACCTTATGCCCTAGCAGACACTGTAACCTGACGGTATGAAAGTAGTAGGCTGCTGGAAGGCAAATTTGGCCAGATCTACAGTTTTTTATTGAAAGGAAAGGTTAGTGTTACATTCCGAATGTAAACGAAACAAGCCCTGAATACAGCCTTCCGTTTGTACTGCGCAATTCATCTATAAGCCTGTTCCAATTCGACCCCAGGGACCCAATAAAATAATCACATTCTGCAGTAATGAGCAGATTGGCGAAAATGTTTGAAATTGGTTGCTGCGCGTTTTCCTGCTCATCTTTCATTTGTTGCGCACTTTGCACTCTAGAAGCATTGGTGTAGAGAAACGTCCAGCCGGGATAATTGCCAGTTTCGTCGATTACAGACTGGGAAGTTGGAAGATGAAAAATGGGGAGCGGGGAGATAGGGGGGAGAAGGATGTTGGTGGGAAGGAATTTCGTAGCAGGTTCACAAAGAAAGTTGTAGTAAAAGGTAGAAACAAGGAGATTGGAGAGGACTGGACTGACTGGCATATTGGAGGATGCGCATGCGTGGCAGGATGAGGAATGCGTGAGAAATGGCAGCTGAATGCGTGAGAAATGGCAGCTGAATGCGTGAGAAATGGCAGCTGAATGCGTGAGAAATGGCAGCTGAATGCGTGAGAAATGGCAGCTGAATGCGTGAGAAATGGCAGCTGAATGCGTGAGAAATGGCAGCTGAATGCGTGAGAAATGGCAGCTGAATGCGTGAGAAATGGCAGCTGAATGCGTGAGAAATGGCAGCTGAATGCGTGAGAAATGGCAGCTGAATGCGTGAGAAATGGCAGCTGAATGCGTGAGAAATGGCAGCTGAATGCGTGAGAAATGGCAGCTGAATGCGTGAGAAATGGCAGCTGAATGCGTGAGAAATGGCAGCTGAATGCGTGAGAAATGGCAGCTGAATGCGTGAGAAATGGCAGCTGAATGCGTGAGAAATGGCAGCTGAATGCGTGAGAAATGGCAGCTGAATGCGTGAGAAATGGCAGCTGAATGCGTGAGAAATGGCAGCTGAATGCGTGAGAAATGGCAGCTGAATGCGTGAGAAATGGCAGCTGAATGCGTGAGAAATGGCAGCTGAATGCGTGAGAAATGGCAGCTGAATGCGTGAGAAATGGCAGCTGAATGCGTGAGAAATGGCAGCTGAATGCGTGAGAAATGGCAGCTGAATGCGTGAGAAATGGCAGCTGAATGCGTGAGAAATGGCAGCTGAATGCGTGAGAAATGGCAGCTGAATGCGTGAGAAATGGCAGCTGAATGCGTGAGAAATGGCAGCTGAATGCGTGAGAAATGGCAGCTGAATGCGTGAGAAATGGCAGCTGAATGCGTGAGAAATGGCAGCTGAATGCGTGAGAAATGGCAGCTGAATGCGTGAGAAATGGCAGCTGAATGCGTGAGAAATGGCAGCTGAATGCGTGAGAAATGGCAGCTGAATGCGTGAGAAATGGCAGCTGAATGCGTGAGAAATGGCAGCTGAATGCGTGAGAAATGGCAGCTGAATGCGTGAGAAATGGCAGCTGAATGCGTGAGAAATGGCAGCTGAATGCGTGAGAAATGGCAGCTGAATGCGTGAGAAATGGCAGCTGAATGCGTGAGAAATGGCAGCTGAATGCGTGAGAAATGGCAGCTGAATGCGTGAGAAATGGCAGCTGAATGCGTGAGAAATGGCAGCTGAATGCGTGAGAAATGGCAGCTGAATGCGTGAGAAATGGCAGCTGAATGCGTGAGAAATGGCAGCTGAATGCGTGAGAAATGGCAGCTGAATGCGTGAGAAATGGCAGCTGAATGCGTGAGAAATGGCAGCTGAATGCGTGAGAAATGGCAGCTGAATGCGTGAGAAATGGCAGCTGAATGCGTGAGAAATGGCAGCTGAATGCGTGAGAAATGGCAGCTGAATGCGTGAGAAATGGCAGCTGAATGCGTGAGAAATGGCAGCTGAATGCGTGAGAAATGGCAGCTGAATGCGTGAGAAATGGCAGCTGAATGCGTGAGAAATGGCAGCTGAATGCGTGAGAAATGGCAGCTGAATGCGTGAGAAATGGCAGCTGAATGCGTGAGAAATGGCAGCTGAATGCGTGAGAAATGGCAGCTGAATGCGTGAGAAATGGCAGCTGAATGCGTGAGAAATGGCAGCTGAATGCGTGAGAAATGGCAGCTGAATGCGTGAGAAATGGCAGCTGAATGCGTGAGAAATGGCAGCTGAATGCGTGAGAAATGGCAGCTGAATGCGTGAGAAATGGCAGCTGAATGCGTGAGAAATGGCAGCTGAATGCGTGAGAAATGGCAGCTGAATGCGTGAGAAATGGCAGCTGAATGCGTGAGAAATGGCAGCTGAATGCGTGAGAAATGGCAGCTGAATGCGTGAGAAATGGCAGCTGAATGCGTGAGAAATGGCAGCTGAATGCGTGAGAAATGGCAGCTGAATGCGTGAGAAATGGCAGCTGAATGCGTGAGAAATGGCAGCTGAATGCGTGAGAAATGGCAGCTGAATGCGTGAGAAATGGCAGCTGAATGCGTGAGAAATGGCAGCTGAATGCGTGAGAAATGGCAGCTGAATGCGTGAGAAATGGCAGCTGAATGCGTGAGAAATGGCAGCTGAATGCGTGAGAAATGGCAGCTGAATGCGTGAGAAATGGCAGCTGAATGCGTGAGAAATGGCAGCTGAATGCGTGAGAAATGGCAGCTGAATGCGTGAGAAATGGCAGCTGAATGCGTGAGAAATGGCAGCTGAATGCGTGAGAAATGGCAGCTGAATGCGTGAGAAATGGCAGCTGAATGCGTGAGAAATGGCAGCTGAATGCGTGAGAAATGGCAGCTGAATGCGTGAGAAATGGCAGCTGAATGCGTGAGAAATGGCAGCTGAATGCGTGAGAAATGGCAGCTGAATGCGTGAGAAATGGCAGCTGAATGCGTGAGAAATGGCAGCTGAATGCGTGAGAAATGGCAGCTGAATGCGTGAGAAATGGCAGCTGAATGCGTGAGAAATGGCAGCTGAATGCGTGAGAAATGGCAGCTGAATGCGTGAGAAATGGCAGCTGAATGCGTGAGAAATGGCAGCTGAATGCGTGAGAAATGGCAGCTGAATGCGTGAGAAATGGCAGCTGAATGCGTGAGAAATGGCAGCTGAATGCGTGAGAAATGGCAGCTGAATGCGTGAGAAATGGCAGCTGAATGCGTGAGAAATGGCAGCTGAATGCGTGAGAAATGGCAGCTGAATGCGTGAGAAATGGCAGCTGAATGCGTGAGAAATGGCAGCTGAATGCGTGAGAAATGGCAGCTGAATGCGTGAGAAATGGCAGCTGAATGCGTGAAAAATGGCAGCTGAATGCGTGAGAAATGGCAGCTGAATGCGTGAGAAATGGCAGCTGAATGCGTGAGAAATGGCAGCTGAATGCGTGAGAAATGGCAGCTGAATGCGTGAGAAATGGCAGCTGAATGCGTGAGAAATGGCAGCTGAATGCGTGAGAAATGGCAGCTGAATGCGTGAGAAATGGCAGCTGAATGCGTGAGAAATGGCAGCTGAATGCGTGAGAAATGGCAGCTGAATGCGTGAGAAATGGCAGCTGAATGCGTGAGAAATGGCAGCTGAATGCGTGAGAAATGGCAGCTGAATGCGTGAGAAATGGCAGCTGAATGCGTGAGAAATGGCAGCTGAATGCGTGAGAAATGGCAGCTGAATGCGTGAGAAATGGCAGCGGAAGGAATCTGTAGACAAGAGTACCCATCCTTTCCAAAATAGACAAGATGGGGGTGCCGATGAGTATAGGCAGCGGAATGTGCGAGAAATGGCAGAAGAATGATGCAGCGGTGAGAAACTTTTGAGTCGACTCAAAAGTCACCTATGATGCAGCGGTGAGAAACCAGAGAATTCTGAATGGAAGTCCAAAGGAATGTGAACAAGAACAACTGGAGCTAACACTTGAGTTCCTCCATGACTCATGGTACTAGGATGCGCAGAATCTGAACAAAAACAACTGGTGCTAACACTTAAGCTCCTCCTCAGTCCCATATTCATCCTCTCACCTGCACTTTTGTGCTCAGCCAGACATGCTTCAGGTCCGGCCGGTGAGCTCTCAGCCGGGTAGCCGCAAGCATGAACGCCGGCAGAGGGTGAAGCTCCATCTCATACCCTTTGTCTCTCAGCCGCACATGCACGCTCACCACTGGCCGCACCATTGAGGTGCATAAAAAAGCATCGCCGGCCCTTTGTCACGCACCCCCACATGCATGCTCAACCCTTGCTTCCACCACTTCCCCACTCACCGCGCCCTCCTCTTACCTGCACCTCTGTGCTCAGCCAAACGTGCTTCAGGTCCGGCCGGTGAGCTCTCAGCCGGGCAGCCACGAGCATGAACGCCGGCAGCGGGTGAAGATCCATCTCGGACCCTTTGTCACTCAGCCGCACATGCACGCTCACCACTGGCCGCACCATTGAGGTGCATAAAAAAGCATCGCCGGCCCTTTGTCACGCACCCCCACATGCATGCTCAACCCTTGCTTCCACCACTTCCCCACTCACCGCGCCCTCCTCTTACCTGCACCTCTGTGCTCAGCCAAACGTGCTTCAGGTCCGGCCGGTGAGCTCTCAGCCGGGCAGCCACGAGCATGAACGCCGGCAGCGGGTGAAGATCCATCTCGGACCCTTTGTCACTCAGCCGCACATGCACGCTCACCACTGGCCGCACCATCTGCACCCCCCCCCCCACCCCCGTGTCCGCACTTCCCCCCTCCCTCGTCTGCCCACTTTCCATGCCTGAGCATCCAGTAACCCCTTTCATTGGCCAGATATGCGACTGCAACGACTGTACACGTGTCGCGCTGCCATTCGCTGCAAGGATCTCCCTCCCTGTTTCCCGTGCCTTGGCTGCAACCAGGAGCAGCAGATCGTCCAGCGGATCTCCTATTTCTGCTGTTGAGCTGGCAGCTGACGTGGCCACTGAGCTGGCATCTGACGTGGCTGCTGAGCTGGCACCCGAGGTGGCGTTCAGCGATTCGATGATGCTCGCCTGCTGGGCAGCGACTGCTGCCACACGATCGGCCATGAGGCGGCCGTAGCTGACGTGGCGGACGTGGTTGATGACGTGGCAGAGATGAGCAGACGGCCAGCGGAGCAAGAAACGGGCGGCTTGAGCTCGCCACCACCGAGCCTGGTGGGGGGAAAGAGGCGGCGGAGAGGCGGGGTGGGGGGAGAGACGCGGGGGGTGGGGGGAGAGAGGCGGGGAGGGGAAGGGCAGAGGGTTGGGGGGGGAGGAGAGAGAGAGGATGCGGAAATACAACTTCCGGGGCGCATCAGGATTAACCGATCTCTCATCATGCAGTGATGCACCTTCCATCATGCAGTGATGCGCATACCATCATGCAGTGATGTTGACAGCCTCAATGTAACACATACCATCATGCAGTGATGTTGGTAGTCTATTTGTAACACATACCATCATGCAGTAATGCACACACCATCATCCACCCACCATCATGCACACACCATCATCCACCCACCATCATGCACACACCATCATCCACCCACCATCATGCACATACCATCATCCAGTCTGGATACATGCTCGAGATGGAGTTTTGCTGTTTAACGGTGTAAGGCCGCTTATGAGACGCCTCAAAATTAATGTACACACCATCACCCTCTACCCACCATCATCCAGTCCGGGTACATGCTCGGGATGGAGTTTTGCTGTTTAACAGTGTAAGGCCGATCCAGCCATGGTTTGCCCAGTTGCCTGCCATGGGGGTATATATTGTTACCATCATCCACACCCCATAATGCACATACGATCAAGGACAGAACCAACGTAACCGTTATGGGGAACACAAACGAAGGAAATCCACATCGCAACAACATTGTTTTGAAAGCTTTGTGGCTTTGATTACCTGCAAGTCCTCTCGTCTCTTATGAGACATTTAATATACCGATTCAACGTTTCTACTCTGCAGTACGACAGTTTGGCAGCATCAACGTCCCCATAGGGAAATGAGGTGACTTTTGAGTTGCCTGTACAGTAATCTCTCTCACTCATCTCTTCCACCAATCTCTCCCACTCATCTCTCCCACTCACAGTTTGGCAGCATCAACGTCCCCATAGAGCGATGAGAGTGCGAGGTAGACCACCTGCATGGCATGGGATGAGCAGGAATGGCATGCCATGGCATGGCATGGCATGGAAAGGAGCGGCATGGAATCAGTGCTTGGCAGCATGAACGTCCCCATAGAGGGATGAGAGTGCGAGGTAGACCACCTGCATGGCATGGCATGGTGGCGCGGCACGACATAGCAAGTCATGGAAACGAATGGCAAGACATGGAAACGAATGGCAAGACATGGAAACGAATGGCAAGACATGGAAACGAATGGCAAGACATGGAAACGAATGGCAAGACATGGCACGAAATGAAATAGCATGGCACGTCATGGCATGGCATGGCATGGCATGGCATGGCATGTCCTCTCACGTCCTCCCCATGGATATCCACTGCTTCAATACACCCATTCGACTTGCTTAGTAGCGCACAAATAACAAATCAAGCACGTAGCAATCAACCAGTAACCCCAACTGGAAAAAAAAAAAAAAACAAAAACAAAAACAAAAACAAAAAAAACAAACAAACAAAGCACAAAACAAAATCACCTGTGTGTCGCCAGCCAGCATGCTCTCTCGCACGTCATCACCACGGATATCCGGAGCCTCGCCCCTCTCATACACTGCCATGGCCGCATGCACACATGCAGGGGCTTCTGAGAACGCTCACAAGAACCCCACAAGGCCCCCACACAAGAACCCCACACAAGAACCCCACACAAGAACCCCACACAAGAACCCCACACAAGAACCCCACACAAGAACCCCACACAAGGCCCCCACTCACCTGTGTGTCGCCAGCCAGCATGCTCTCTCGCACGTCATCCCCTCGAATATCCGGAGCCTCCCCCCTCTCATGTGCTGCCATGGCCTCTTGCACACATGCAGGGGAGGCGATGGGGAAGAAGTAGCACTCCCACTGCTGCGCCTGGCGCAGGTCTTTGGGGGGTTGGGGGGGAGAGTGGTAGGGGGGGAAGGGAGGGGAGGGGAAGGGAGGGGAGGGGAAGGGAGGGGAGGGGAAGAAAGAATAATCGTGAGATGGGAGAGAAGTTGCACTCCCGCGGTCATGTGCTGCCATGGCCTCTTGCACGCATGCAGTGGAGGCAATGGGGAAGAAGTAGCACTCCCACTGCTGCGCGTGGCGCAGGTCTTGGGGGGGTGGGGGGGAGAGAGGAGGGGGAAGGAAGGGGGTGAAGATTTTGGGGTTGGGGGAACGTTGTGTGTACGGTGTGCTCATGGGTGACTTTTGAGGCGCCTCAAAAGTCGATTTTGGGGTTGGGGGAACGTTGTGTGTACGGTGTGCTCAAGGGTGTGTGAACTTCCGAGGGAGGTGGTGTGGTGTGTCCGGGGCAGTCCCATTCCTTCATACTCGCTCCCAGCGCGTTCAAGGGAGGGGGTGAAGATTTTGGGGTTGGGGGAACGTTGTGTGTACGTCCGAGGGAGGTGGTGTGTCCGGGGCAGTCCCATTCCTTCATACTCGCTCCCAGCGCGTTCAAGGGTGCATGGAATTAACACGAGAGTGCGGTTGGTGCGCATGGCAATGCTCAGATACGCCCCCACCACATGGATCATGCTCCCCATCCCATGGTGCAGCCCGGGCCTCTACCCCTCCCACTCCTGGTGCATGCATGAGGGACGGTGTCGTGAATCTTCCTCTGTCCACCCTCATTCCCTTTCTCCCCTGTGTAACCTGCTGACTTCTCCTTCTCTCCTTCCTTCCCTGCCACCCGTACTGCTGATCAGGTTCATCCCTTCTTCCTCCTGGCGTATGTAATCACTCTGTCCTGCACTCCTCCTGGTACCTCAGGCTTCCCTTGTAGCAAGCGTAACACTCCCCCTCAGGGGCTCCGTCAAATTGCTTATAGCTTCTCCTACTGCTAGTTCCCTCTGGATTAGGAAAACAAATTGCAGTAAATGAGAAACATACAAGCAAAAAGCAAGAAGCCCGAGTGCTACTCCTGCCTACATCTATTCCCACCCCCTGCCTAGGTTGCTTCCTCCACAAGCAAGCTCCTGTGCACCAAGCGAGTCAGCCGGGCTGCTCGCGAGGTCTCCAAGGTGCTAGCTGTGTTCCCACTGGGCCCACTAGGCATGCACTGCCTTCCAGCCTGGTGACTTCGAATTCAATTCCCAGGCTGGCATTGAATTCGCCTTCCAGCCTTGTGACTTCGAAATTGAATTCACAGGCTGGAATTGAATTCGTCTCCACCAACCTCCTTGAATTCGCCTCCCACTAACCACCTCAAATTCCCCAGCTACTCGGCTCTGCAGTACAGTACAATACACTCCAAGCACACAAATGAAATTAGAGTACAAAAGCGGTAAACTATAGTACACCCTCACCTTGGCTGCTGTGGTATTCACACTTAGTTGCCAGCTAAGTGTTAATAACGCGACAGCTGTCGTGAATCTTCCTCTGTCCACCCTCATTCCCTTTCTCCCCTGTGTAACCTGCTGACTTCTCCTTCTCTCCTTCCTTCCCTGCCACCCGTACTGCTGATCAGGTTCATCCCTTCTTCCTCCTGGCGTATGTAATCACTCTGTCCTGCACTCCTCCTGGTACCTCAGGCTTCCCTGCCCCCTCCCGTGTCTCAGCGCCCATCTTTGCCGCTCGAGTCACGGGACCCACTGCCTGAGGCTTCCCTTGTCCCGCCCTGGCCACGTTGGTGATGTGTTCCTTGATGATTCCCCCTCGAATATCTTCCAGCACTAACACTCCCGAGCCTCGTATCTCTTTCACCTTCCACCGCTCCGATCCCACCGCTAAGTCCAGCGTGTCGCGCTTAGCTTTGCGAAGGTATACCTCCTGCCCTGCCTCCACCTTGTCACCCTTTCCCCCTATCCCTGATGCTTTACGCTGCTGGTATCGTCTTGCGTCACGCAGCTGCGCCACATGGAGGTTATCCAGAGCTGCCGGAGTCAGCTCCTTCAAATACTTTGCTCTCCTCTGTGCTAACTCCGCCCACAGGTTTGGCTCATCTGCCTCTATAACCGCAGAAAGCAGCTTCGGAGCATCGACCGGCAGCACAGGATCCCGCCCGAACAGTAAGTGGTATGGGGATAGGTTTCTCAGAGCCGCCTGCTTTGCGAACCTGTACCCCGCCAGCACCCACCAGAGATCTCGGTCCCAACTCCTTTTGTGGGACTCACTGTAGGCCCGTAGTCCTTTCTTCAAGGTCTGTATGAGCCTCTCGGTCAGTCCGTCTGATTGAGGATGGTACCTAGAGGTGACCCTGTGCGTGATACCCATCTCTTCCAGCAGCTCGTCGAAGCTCCCTTGAAATTCCGTCCCTTGATCAGTGAGTACCTCCCCGCATGCCCCATACCTGGTGAGCACCAGCTCCTCAAAAGCGTCAGCTATCAGTGCGCTGTTCTTGCTTGGTAACGCTCGCGCCTCCACCCATTTACTCGTGTGCTCAACCATCACCAGAATGTACTGCTTCCCTCCTTTCGATAGTGGCAGCTCTCCCGCGAGGTCCAACGACCACCTGTAGCCCAACCCGCGAATTGGTAAAGAATGCAGCTCATCTCTCTCTTTCTCCAGCCTTGCTTTATTCCTCTGACATGCCTCGCAGCTCGCCACTTATCCTGCCACATCCTTTCCCATGCTCACCCACCAGTACATGGTGCTCAGCAGCTGCCGTGTTCTGGTTATGCCGAAGTGCCCCAGCTTCGCGTGCACATTCCCCATAATCTTGGCTCTCTCCTGTGGTTGTGGCACCACCTTCCACCCTTCGTTGGTTCTCAGCTGCAGCTGTTCCTGAAACCACCTGAAATGCTGCCCTCGGGCCCTGGCTCTCTCGCTCACTCCTTCCTCTTCTAGTGGCTCCCCTTTGATCCAACTCAGGGTCTCCTCATCCTCCCATATATCCCCTAACCGCTTCTTTCCTTTCTCCTGCCCCCAGGGTACCGCCGCTACTTGAGCCAGGGCTGCCAGCTGCGCTACCGGCTGCATTGGTGGCGGATTCCTTGATAACCCATCTGCGTGCTGCAGCGTTTTCCCAGGCCGGTGTCGGATCTCAAAGTCGAATCCCAGCAGCTTAATGGCCCAGCGAGCGTTTCTTCCCGTCAGCTCCTGATGAGTCATCAACCATAGCAACGGCTGGTGATCAGTCACAAGTGTGAAGCGCCGACCCTGCAGGTACACCTTGAAGTGAGTGATCCCCCATACAGCTGTCAGGCCCTCCCCCTCGTAAGAGAAGTAGTTAGCCTCGGATGGGCTGCAGCTGTGGCTGGCGAAGGCTACCACTCTCTCCTCTCCTTCTATCTCTTGGCAGAGCACTGCCCCCATTCCTGTGCTGCTCCAGTCGGTGTATAAGATGAAAGGGGCATCTGCCCTCGGTATCTGCAGCAGCGTTCCCGTTCGTACTGCTTCTAACAGGTCCTGCCTTGCCGTTTCCTCCAGCTCTCCCCACTGCCAGCTCCTCCCTTCCTTCAGCAGCTGATTCAGTATGTAGGCTCGGCGGCTGAAGTTCGGTACGAACTTCCTGTAATAATTCAGGAAGCCGAGTAACGCCCGCAGCCCGGTCTTATCCTTTGGTGCTGCCAGGTTCTCCAGCACCTTAACTTTTGCTTCCTGTATCGCCAGCCGGCCCCCTTTCACTTCAAAGCCCAGGTAAGCCACGGTCTGCCTTGCTATCTTGCACTTGTCTGGATGGCACGTCAGACCCGCAGCTGCTATAGCCTCTAGCGTCTGCTTCAGATCTTGCACGTGCTGCTCTTCACTGCTGCTGAAAATCAGTATATCATCTATGTAGCAGGCTGCTGCTGGAATCCCCTTCAGCACCTGATCCATGGCCCGCTGGAACACTGCAGGGGCGTTGCGTATCCCGAAGGGCATCACATTGTACTCATACAGCCCATCCACCCCGTGAAACGCCGTTTTCCGTTTGTCTTCCTCCCTGATGGCTATCTGGTTGAACCCCTGTCGCAGGTCCAAGGTGGTGAAGATGATGGCGCCTTCTAAGCGATCAAAGATGTCTTCTGCTGTTGGCATGGGGTACCTGTCCGGGCTGGTAATCTTGTTCAGCTCCCGAAAATCTCCACACATCCTTTTCGCCAGCACTTTACCCGTGATATCCTTCCTGGCAGCTACCACTGTGGCTGCTGCGTAGCTTGACTCGGACGGGCGGATAATCCCTGCTGCTAGCAGCTCCTCACACTTCTCCTTGCAGATAGCCGCATCCTCTGCATTCATTCTCCTTCTTCGTTGGTAAGTGGGTATCTCTGTGGTAAGGTTTAGCTCCAGCTCTCTTCCCTTGTACCTCCCCAATTCCTGCAGGTTATAGGCGAAAGTGCTCCTGTGCTGGCGCAGCACCTCTCTGATTGCTTCCGCCGTCTGCTCCTTGATGTCCGTACCTAGCTTCCATTCCTTACCCTGCTCAGCTTCTTTGCCCCCTGCTAGTGCCGCAACATTCTCCTTTCCTCCCGTGCCCTGCTCAACAGCTGCATACGCCGCCTGCTTCTCTCCTTGTCCTTGCCTTTTTCCGGTCTCTCCTCCCTTATCAGCTGCCCCCTTCCTCATCTCTTTGATTAACCATCTCAGCGAGTGCTGGTCTATGGCTCTTCCTAAAGCTGCTCTGCGCATCCCTTCCTCTACCCCTTCTGCTGCGGTTGCTCCTGGCAGGTATCCCATGGCTAACTCCCGCTCCAAAGCCGTCGGTTCCTCCCACTTCTTCTTCCGGTGATCGTACACCATCCCTGGTCCTGGTATTCCGTCCACCTCGATGAAACCTTGTGCCCTGGTGTATGTCACTAATGTAGGCCATGCCCTGCGAGCTTCCCCCACCCGGTTGCACTGGTACTGCCGCGGATGATCTGGTTTTACCACTGGTGCCGCCACCCTCCCTGGTTCTAAAATATCCTCTACTATCCTGCTTTCGTCCCTCTCCACTCTTGCTAGTCTTGCCCTCAGTTCCCCGTCTGGCAAGACGTTTTGCCAGTACTGCCGCACCCTATGACAGCGTGCCCCCAACTGTGCCCCATCACAGCTCACTCCTCTCCCCAGTTCTGCCTCCACCAGCTCCCTTACTGCCCTGACCGGCTCGCGTACGTCATTCCTCATATCCACATGCTCCAGGATGTAAGCATATTCTCCATTCACTTCACTCGTCCACTTCATTATGGTGAGTAGCTTGGTCACCATCCCCGTGCGCTCGTCCTGTAAGCCTTTCCCCTTTCCGGCCCTAGAAGTACCCTGACACTCCCATCCCGCCACTAACAAATCCACTTTACCCCAGCTGCTCACGTCTTCTTTCGTGAGCTGCCCCACGTCCCATTTCTTGTTCTGCATGGCCTCCCGTAGTACTTCTTTCGTCAGCTGCGCGGGGTACTGCTGCTGTAACATTTGAGCATGCTTCCATGCCATTCTCCTCACCTCTGGGTCCAATTCTACGTATACCCACTTCTTCACCCTCAGGCCTGCTTCCAAGGCTGCTGCCAAGCCCGCTCCTATTCCCCCGAACAGCTCCACTAGTGTAATGCTATACTGATCCAGGTGAGCGCTGCCGTTGCTCTTCCCCACACTTCCTCCCCTCTTGCTGTTCTTCCTCAGTCCTTCTGCTCTCCACGCCTTCTTGGGTTCTGTCTTAACAAACCGTACTGGTAGTTCACTCAGCTCCTTCCCTTCCTCCCAAAAGTCCGAACGGTAGAGCACCTGCTCCTGCCAGGTACAGATAGTGGTGCCTATCTTGAACAGCAGCTCTATTCCTAGTAGGATATCATAGTCTTCTGATTCTGTCAACCCACACTGCACTCTGATAGTGGTCTCCCCCTTCTCTCCCGGCTGTAAGGTTATCTCTATCAGGTCCCGTGTGCATGGCATCCACTTGGGGGCCCCTCCTTCTGCTGTCATGATCAGTATGCCCTTGCTTACAGTCTCTAGGTTCCCTTGCGCTCGCAGTTGTGCCGTCAGCTTCTTCCCGATTAGGACGCTCTGTGCTCCTGTATCCACTACCGCGTTTTCTACCAAGATTCCTCTGACCGCCACGGCTTTCGGTTCCACCACTAAGGCTGTGGGCTGACAGACTAGCCTTTCCTCGGGGTGACGCCGTGCGGTGCTGACTTTCCCTTGATTCTCCTGCCGCCTGGAAATTCTCCACTCTTGTAATTTCTGCTCCGCTCTGCCATCTGCCCCTCCGCTGCGCAGCCCCAGGTCTCCCCTCTCCCTTGGCGGCATAGCCATGGTCCCGTATTCTGGTTCCCCTTCCTCAGAATCTTCCCCTTCGTCATCCCCCCAAGCCAGCAGAGCTTTCTCGGGGTCTTCACTGATCCCTGATTTCTCCATCTGAGCTTTCAGTTTCGCCAACTCTCGTTCTAACTGCAGCTCCCTTGCAGTTTTCCCTTTCGCCCTGTCTCCCTTGCTGTAGCATCTAGCTTCGGTATGGCCTTTCTTCCCACACCCCGTGCAGGTCGGCGCCTTGGGGCAGTCACGCCTGAAATGTCCCTTTGCTCCACAGGTGTCGCAGATTATTCCCACCGTACAATCCCTCCGAAGATGTCCTTGCTCTCCACATTTATGGCAGCGTCTCGGGTCTTCCGATGGCCTCTCTTTCCGCTCTTCCTCTCCCCTTCTTCCTTCCATAGCTGCCCAGGCCGGCCGTCTCCGCTCGTTCGGTCGGCTGGAACTCGACCCCTGCATGCCATCATAAAATCTCTTCCCTTCCTCCACTTCTTTCGCCACCTTGTAGACTTGCCGCAGCGTGGCGCGTACTCCCAGGACGTACAGCTGACTCCTCATGTCGCCTATCAGGTCCTTGTCCAGACCGTTGACAAATTTCGTCACCAAGAGGCGCTCCTCCATACACCCCATGTCCTCTGCCAGCTCCAGCAGCCTGTTGTAATAGGCTAGCAGCGACTCCGAAGTGGCACGCACGAAGTTCTGAAATTCCGCCATCCGTTCCGCCGAGTGCCCCGGGAATTGCTCCTGCAAACTCTCCAGAAATCGGTCCGTTATCATTGCTGGTGAGAAATCGCCTCTCTTGCACTGCATCAACAGCCCCTGCCTTTCCACGCGGTAGTGAGTCAGGGCCTCGCCTTTCAGAGTCCGTCCCAAACCTCTAAAGAACTCGATAGGGTCTAAGCCCTCCCTCTCCCAAAGGTAACGCAGGTCGTCTATCATCATCAAGTAGTTCTTGAGCGTGGGCTCCTCCCCTGGTGTCCCCGAGAAACGGTCCGGCACTTCAATTTTCGGTAGAGCTGCGTTCATCGTGCGGCCCGTCCCCCAGCTCGTGTTCCCTCTATCCCCGCTGTCCACCGGCCGACCACCTTGCCTAGCTTCAGTAGCCTCGTATCCACCCGCCGAAAAGCTGTGGTACGCTTCTCCTCCTCTCTGACGGCGTCTTTCTTCGTGATGTTCATCTTCCCCGCGCTGACTGTGCCGTTCTTCCCGAAACTCTTCTCTTCCTTGAGCAGGATTATCCCCTCGAGATCCACTCCTCACATAGCCGATTCCACTCCCGCCAGCGACTGATCCACCAGTAGCGCTAGGCGGCGGCTCCCCTTGTCGGTCGCCCTCCCTCTCTCGATCTGATCCCTGACCCCCGCGCGCGTTAGCATCGCCCTCTTCAGCACGGAATCCAGGTGTCCTGATTGGTAGGCCTTGTCCCTCCATCATCCTTGCAGGGAAACGGAGTCCCGAGCGCAGCTGATGAGTGTGCAGTTCCTGATCGTGCCTACTCATTCCTCACGGCGCATCACCGTGAGCGACTCGAGGCTACTAGCTTATCTCCTGTACTTAAGACAGTCAACAACCTTTTTGCTTGTATGTAGCAAGCGTAACACTCCCCCTCAGGGGCTCCGTCAAATTGCTTATAGCTTCTCCTACTGCTAGTTCCCTCTGGATTAGGAAAACAAATTGCAGTAAATGAGAAACATACAAGCAAAAAGCAAGAAGCCCGAGTGCTACTCCTGCCTACATCTATTCCCACCCCCTGCCTAGGTTGCTTCCTCCACAAGCAAGCTCCTGTGCACCAAGCGAGTCAGCCGGGCTGCTCGCGAGGTCTCCAAGGTGCTAGCTGTGTTCCCACTGGGCCCACTAGGCATGCACTGCCTTCCAGCCTGGTGACTTCGAATTCAATTCCCAGGCTGGCATTGAATTCGCCTTCCAGCCTTGTGACTTCGAAATTGAATTCACAGGCTGGAATTGAATTCGTCTCCACCAACCTCCTTGAATTCGCCTCCCACTAACCACCTCAAATTCCCCAGCTACTCGGCTCTGCAGTACAGTACAATACACTCCAAGCACACAAATGAAATTAGAGTACAAAAGCGGTAAACTATAGTACACCCTCACCTTGGCTGCTGTGGTATTCACACTTAGTTGCCAGCTAAGTGTTAATAACGCGACAACGGGCGTGCGGGGTGCAGGGCGGTGTGCAGGGGGGTGTGCAGGGCGGTGTGCAGGGCGGTGTGCAGGGGGGTGTGCAGGGCGGTGTGCGGGCGGTGTGCAGGGCGGTGTGCAGGGGGGTGTGCAGGGCGGTGTGCAGGGCGGTGTGCAGGGCGGTGTGCAGGGCGGTGTGCAGGGCGGTGTGCAGGGCGGTGTGCAGGGCGGTGTGCAGGGCGGTGTGCAGGGCGGTGTGCAGGGCGGTGTGCAGGGCGGTGTGCAGGGCGGGGTGCAGGGCGGTGTGCAGGGGGGTATCCCATCTTCCCACCCACCTTCACACTCGCGCCCAGCTCGCTTAAAGGTGCCTGGCATGAGCACTAGAGTGCGGTTGCTGCGCATGGCAATGCTCAGATACGCCCCCACCACATGGATCATGCTCCCCATCCCATGGTGCAGCCCGGGCCACCGCGACAGCATCAGCCGCCGCCCGGTACAGCTGGCGGGGAACTGGTGCCGCCACATGTCGCGCTGCACGCCACGTGTCATCGCGAGATTGGCTGCATCAGAGCCTCGTACCTGGATACGGAGGGAGGGTTGAGTGGGTGAAGGATTTTGAGTCGATTCAAAAATCGCCTCTTGGGTGCTGGGGAAAGCAGAGTGACGAACGGGTGGAGGTGAGAGAAAGAAAGAGTTTCTGAGAATTCTCAAAAACTCCCTGCAATTTTCAAAAACCGCCTCTTGGGTGTTGGGGAAACAGAGGGACGAACGGGTGGAGGTGAGAGAAATGGGAGGAACGGGCGAGGATGGTGGTGCAGGTTGAAAGGGTCTAGTTTTGAGGCGCCTCAAAACTATGGTGGTGCAGGTTGGAGGGGGAGGGGGAAGGGAGCAGGGGAGGGTAGGCGGAAGGGAGGTGACTTTTGAGTCGATTAAAAAGTCACCTGAGGGACGAACGGGTGGAGGTGAGAGAAAGAGGAGGAACGGGCGAGGATGGTGGTGCAGGTTGGAGGGGGAGGGGGGAAGGGAGCAGGGGAGGGCAGGCGGAAGGGAACTGGTGGAAGGAAACTGGCGGAAGGGAGCTGGCAGAAGGGAACTGGCGGAAGGGAGCAGGCGGAAGGGAGCACCCACCCATCCATCCATGCATGCACCCACCCATCCATGCATGCACCCACCCATCCATGCATGCATCCACCCACCCATGCATGCACCCACCCATCCATGCATGCACCCACCCACCCATGCATGCATCCACCCACCCATGCATGCACCCACCCACCCATGCATGAATGCACCCACCCACCCATGCATGCACTCACCCACCCATGCATGCACTCACCCACCCATGCATGCACCATTCCCCCACCCACTCACCCAGGGTGGCTGGGGGCCGCACTTACAACACCCCTTCCCATCATCCCCGCTTCCCCCGCTTCCCCCACTCTCGCCCTTGCCCCCATTTCCCGCATCCCCCCCGCTGCCTCCGCAGCACTCCCCAGGCTCCCCGCGCGCCCATGCAGGGAGGCTTCCGTCCTCCCCCCTCTCTTCCGCCGCCTGGCGCGCAGCGGTGCGCGCGGAGCAGTCTTCGAGGTGGGGCGGAAGGGGAACGTTGGGGGGAAGGACGAGCGGCGAAGGGGGGAGGAGGGTGGAGGCATTCTCGAGGCCGTACGCCTGTGACCATGTCTGGTGGTGATTATAACGGAAGGGAAGGGAAAGCCATGAAAAAATATTAGGTTCAGAATGGCAAGTCAGTCGCTCACACTGAGTGAAGTGAAGACTTTGATAGTTGACTTAACCAAGACACTCACGTTGAATAGCGCCTGGGATTTGGTTTCGTGTTCCTGACTGGCGAACGGGTTACCAGCTTCGGCGACGGTCGCTAAGTGCGCTAGCGGTAGCAGCATCAGCCACGTCAGCCAGGACATTGCGTCTGGGGGCGCACGTGTGTGCCGTCTCCACGCATGTGTAAAGGTTTGGCACTGTATCACGCAAATCAATACAATCGTAAGTCTGCAGTTTCGTTTTAACGTATTTACTTTTGAGAATCAACCAACACCTTTAGCGGGTACGCTAGCCAGTGAAATTTCGGTGAGCAGTGTATCAAATCACATCGCGATACCTTACACGTGGAGAGCCATTCAGTGCGATACAGTACGTTTCGATGCGTTCTACACGTACCATGTTTCAAGGGGCGTCACGGTTGAGCGAAACGGCCCTGCACCACCGAAACATGTCGTTGGTTGGTTGCGAAAATTTGGGCTGTCGTAGATTCAACATTGTGCGACTTTCACCACTCTGCCAGGGCGACAGACAAGCACCTTTTGCAATTGTGCCCTGCCCTCTGGATGGTCCTGGCAGTTACTGTACAAAGAAAATCTGGTTCGTTGTTCCAGCATGCTGCATTAATTTTGTTAGGGAGCATGCTGGAAATGGGCTGTACAGCCGTCATAAACAGCTCATTTACTGTAGCGAGTCTTATTTTACTGTTTTGATGTTAGCGCACAGGTCTTTGGCAACAGCACCACAATCATCGGTTGGGGGGGGCTGTCTGTCTTCGCACAAGAAGTTCAACAAATCACTGCCGTAGATTCATGTACCGGACGCAGTGTGCAATCTTTGCTGTGTTGCTTCCAGGAGGATCTAGAACTCGTCGGGTCGCTGCTGCAGCATCCGTCAGATTCACGCGCCCTCAAATCTATCCATCTTTTCTCACCGACAAATACGTGGTCCTCAGACCTGCACAGCTGTCATATTATGTCGCGAGTGCTGGTTACCCGCATCGCCTTAGTCGCCCGAATCTCATCCCATCACGTGTGGTACGCTGGAGGAATGATCAGTTTTACAGCACAGCAGCGAACAGCGAACCAACGCCATGGTCAAATCTAGGGTTTCCTTTCCAATCCAACACCCGGCTTTTGTCTCTGCTGCATGCCTTTCTTGGCAACAGGCATTCCTTCCAGCTTCCGAGAGAAAATGACACCTGGAGCCCGCTCGTGACATTGTGGTTGACATCAACTTTACATCATCAAAGAGCTTGCCTAAACGTACGGTCAGCCTATCTCGATGGCGTTTTCCTTATCTCTAGCTTGGCTTGGCCGCTTACTGCAATCCGTACCGAAGTTGTTGGCGTTGGAGGCTGTTTGTCACAGGGCAAGCCCAGTAAACCCTTAGGAATAACTTCGTGTAGATGAGTAAACTGAATTAGGTGAAGGACGTAACCGTTATCAAGTCATTGGAATTCCTCGAATCGTCGTATGTGTCTATCTCGCCTTCGTGCGATCGCCGATCCGATCTCTCAATCCATCTCCAGGGCGTTCCACTTTACTAGCAAAATCATATTCCTGTTCATGTAGTTTAGGGTCGAGCGGTTGCTCTTACAAAACTTTGTTTTCTTTTGGTTTATTTAGCTAACTTTAATAGTCCTCTCAGCAATGGAGGTAACCAGCAAAGCCGCGCGGGAAGGATCCCGCGCGGGCGGGGGAGGCGAGGCCTCCAGTCGGCGCAACGGTGGGGAAAGAGAGGGCCGCGGATCGATGAGCGGAACAAAGCGGGAGCGCGGCGGGGGCGCGTGGGGCGCGGAGAGCAGCGGTCCCGCCGGGCGCAGTGGAGCCGGCGGAGCGGGGGGAGCCGGGGGGAGTTCCGCGGGGGCGGGCGCGGAGAAGAAGGTGAAGGTGATGCAGCGCGGGCACGGCATTGCGCACCTGGAAAAGCTCCGCCTGCAGGAATTGCGCAACGCGGAACTAGAGCGGTCGCAGCAGCAACAGCAACAACAACAGCAGCAGCTGCGACAGCTTCAGCAACAGGACCCCTCAAGCCTCCTAACCTCTTCCGCGGCCCTCCAAGCCCTAGGCCTCGGCGGACTCTTCCCCTTACCTCCCCCCGTCGCTTCCTCCTCTCTCGCGTCGCTCTCCGCCCCTCTGGGGCCGCTTTCTGACAACCTCGCGACAGCTGCGGCGGCGGCGGCGGCAGCGGCCGCCGCGTCCGATCCGCTATTAAGTATCGCTGCTAGAAGGCAGCTATCGCTACTTGCCGCGTCGCGATCGTTATCCAGCGATTTCGCGGATCGAATGCGCGTGGGGGGAGATCGATCTGTGGTGGGCGGAGGAAGCGGGGCGGGCGGAAGCTTGGGCGGGCTGGGCGCAGCGCTTGGGGGCCTGAGCGGAACGACGGGGAGCAGTCCGGGCGGACACGAGCGGGTTCCGCTCGACGTGGTGATGGCAGCTTCGGCAGGCGCAGCTTTGGGCAGAGAAGGATTCCACAGGCTCGGCGGAGGCTTGGGCGGAGGTTTGGGCGGTGGCTTGTTTGGTGCGGGTGGATTAGGGCTTGGCGGGGGGTTTGGCGGAGGGCTGGGGGCCGGCGCAGCGGGGACGCGGGGAGGGACCGCGAGCGAAGGAGGCGCGGGGTTCGGGAGTATCTTTGGGGGGGGGTTGAGGGGGGCGGCGGTGGCGGCGGCCGCGGCAGCTGCGCACGCAGCGAGTACGGGAAGGGCCGGCACTGGCGGAGCGATGCAGTCGCTTAGCGAGTTCGCCATCCGGCGGCTTCAGATCCTGGTGAGCGGAGTGATGCTGAAAGCCGTTGGTTTTGCATAAAATAGTCCGGCTCTGAGGCTCTTAAAAACTTGAACCCGACAGGTTCAGATCCTGGTGAGTGGAGTGACGCTTGGAGCCATGGAACATCTTTTCTTTCCTTTTTCCAAAGGATGCTTTATTATTTTTCTTTTTTTCTTCTTTTGTTTGCTTGCTTACGTGTTTTTCGTTTCATTTTTATTTCCTGCGGGCTGCCTTTTTTGATTTTCTGGGCGCGGTCCCGGCCCTCCCCTCCGTAGAACGACTTACGGCAGGTGGAATCAGCAGGCGGGGGATCGAATCTCGACGTTGGCGCGTTTGGCGGCGCAGGGGGGCCGGGGGGCGGGAGTGTGGCGATCGGCGCGGGGTACAACTCGTGGGAGGTCGACAGCAGCTCGCGCACCCCAGGGTCCCGCGGAACAGCCCTGGACGCAGCGCTAGGCGCAGCGCCGGGGGGAGCGTCAGGGGGAACGCCAGGGGGAACGTTCGGGGGAACGTTAGGATCGGCCGCAGGGGGGGGTCTTGCTGGGGCGGCTTCTTCCCGCGGGCTGTCTAATCTCGCATCAGGCGCGCGCGCAGGCGGGGGAAGCGCGGAGATGAGCGCTGGCGGGGCCGTCGGAAGCGGAATGGGCGCTGGGGGCGCGGCTATAAGCGCTGGGGGAGGCGGTAGCCCGGGGGGAAGCTCGCTTTCCGCGCATCTGCCCAGCGCCGTGCCTCTTTCCGCCACTGGCGCGGGGCTGGGGCCTTCTGGTTTGCGCCACAGCAGCTATGGGGGGGATGGGGGAACGGAGGGGTCACCCTTTGGGGGAGGCAGAGGCGGAGGCGGGGGCGGAGGGGGAGGCGGAGGGGGAGGGGGGGTGGGCGGCGGAAGGAATCTTGAGGAGGAAAGCGGGAAAAAGGGTTTTTTGGGGGGATTTGACCAGAGGCGGGGTAGTGGGGGGAATGATGCTAGTGGGGAGCGACTGGGGGCGGGAGAGGGCGGAAGGGGCGCAATGTTTGGGCTAGGGGCGGGCAGGAGGGAGGAGGAGGAGAAGGTGGGCAGAGAAAGGGCTTTCCCAGTGCATCACACACACCCGTTCATGCAGTAAGTTGTTACTACCGTACCGTACCGTACTGTACTGTACCGCACTGTTCCCTAGCCTTGCGTCAGATTCAGCACCTTCACCCTTGCTTTTTGATGGCACCAGCACCACACACACCCATTCATGCTGTAATCTCACGCATCATTCTCTGATCATATATCCTGTTTTGAGGCGCCTCAAAACTAGACTTCTCTGATCATATATCCTGTCTTCCCCTCCATCCCGATTCCCCCTCCCCGCCCTCCCTCCCCTTCCCCCGCTTCCTTCCTTTCTGCCCCCTCCCAAATATTTTCTGCGGTCCCGTTCCTTCCCGCAGTAGCTCCCGAACCGTGTCCGAGCCTGTGAGTGGAGCCTCGGCATCGCTCATCGCATCCCTCTCCTCGCGAATCCTTGCCGAAGCTCACATGCGCGAGGCTGCAGCGGCAGGAGCGGCGGGAGGAATGGGAGGAGCAGGGGCAGGAGGAATAGGAGGAGCAGGAGGAGGAGCAGGGGCAGCAGGAGTGGCAGGAGCACCAGGGGCAGCAGGTATCACCTATGCTAACTCCCCAGCAGCTGCTGCAGCGGCAGCAGCCGCCGCAGCAGCGCATCTGAATCACCTAAACGCGGCAGCAGCAGCATCGGCAGCAACAGCAGCAGCGGCAACAGCAGCGGCAACTGCAGTGGCAACTGCAGCAGCAACAGCAGCAGCGCACTTCGGAAATTTGGCAGACCTAGACCCAACAGCAGCAGCAGCTGCTGCAGCAGCGGCGGCAGCAGCGGCGGCAGCAGCAGCAACCACAGCGCAACAACCCCCCAACCCTTCCTCCTCCCCCTCCCCAGGACAGGCGCTTTCCCCATTTCCTTCCCCAGCCTCCCCATTCTCCCCTGCCTCTTTAGCCGATTCTCTCCTTTTGAACCGTCTCAAGGCGGAGTCTCATTTGAGAGACTTGGCAGCAAGAGATTCGAAAGCGGCGGATTCGGCTCGCAGAGACGTGAAGGCGGATGATTTGGGTCCAAGAGACGTGAAAACGGCGAGCATGGAGGAACAGTTACAAGGTTTGAAAGCGGCTCAAGAAGCAAGAGCATCGCAAGAGGCGAAAGCAGCACACCTGGCTTTTAGGCTGCAGTTAGAGGGGCGTCTGGGACCACAGGAGGCAGCACGGCAGCTGGATGCGTTTTCTGAGGCGCCACAGCAAAGCCAAAACGTGTTTTCTGAGCCCAGAGGAACGGATTTGGCGCCTTTTGAGGCTCCCAGAGGAACGGATTTGTCGCTGATTCTTGAGTCGGCGCGAAAAGCGGCGCAGGAGTCGAAAGCTGCGGACTTGGCTTTAAGGCTGCAGCTAGAGGGGAGGCTGGGACTGCAGGAGGCAGCACGGCAGCTGGAAGCGGCTAGGCTAGCCGCTGCTGGGGTTTTTGGGGGGGTGGGAGCAGGGGTAGGGGGGAGAGGCGGGGAGGTAGGCGCAGGGGTAGGCGCAGGGGGAGGGGGAGGGGGAGGGGGAGGGGGAGGGGGGAGGGGGAAGCGCGGGGTCAGGCGCGGGGGGAGGGGGATTGGAGGAAGCTGGAGCAGGAATGGGAGCAGGTGTTGGGAAAGGGGGAGGATTAGGGCTGGGGATTGGAGGTGGGGAGATGGGTGCAGGAGGGAGAGAGGGAGGTGGGTCCGTGCAGAAGGGGGAGAAGGAGAATCACATGTTTGGAACGGTTTTTGAGGCGCCTGAGAAGAATAGGTCGTTTGAAGCTGCTTCAAAGGCTGGTGGTGCTGGTGGGGATATATCAGGAGGGCGAGGTGGAGAGGGGTTTGGAAAGCAGGGGGAGGGAAGCATGGGTCGGAAAGTGGCTGAGCAGGGAGAGTGGTTTGGAAAGCAGGGGGGGTCTAGACTGACGGAGGGTGGGGAGAAGAGACGGAAGGAGGAGGGGGTGGATGAGGAAGAAGGGGGATGGAAGGGACGTGAGGGTATGGCAAAGAGGGGAAGGAGAGAGGAGGTGACAGAGGAGGTGAGGGGTGTGGGGGATGAGGGGAGGAGGACGAGAGGAGTGGGAGGTGTGGGAGGGATGGGGGAGGGGCAAGGGCAGGGGGTGCAGGTTCCGGCGAATTTCTTCCTGAATAGGTGGGCTTCGGTGGGGAGGAGTAAGAAGGAGTTGGAATCGGCAGCAGGGGGTTCGGTAGGTGCACCTGAAGCAGCACCAGCAGCAGCATTGGGAGCAGCAGCAGCAGCAGCGGCAGCAGTATCTCCAGCACGGAAAACAGCAGCATCAGTGGCAGCAGCAGCCGGTGCTCCAGCCGGTGCCGCTACAGCTGGTGCCGCTACAGCCGCTGGTGCTACAGGCGTAAATGCTTCAGCTGCTGGCTCTGGTAATGCAGGCGTGGAGACTAAGTGGACTTTTGAGGCGCCTCAAAAGTCGTCTGGCGCTGATAATGCAGGCGTGGAGACTAAATGGTCGAGTTTTGAGACGTCTCAGAACGCTACAGGCGTCAATGCTACAGCTGCTGGCGCTGATAATGCAGGCGTGGAGACTAAGTGGTGGCGGCGAGTGAATCTTAACCTGGAAGAGGCAGGTGCAATGAGGAGCAGTGATCGGGTGGTGCTTAATAAGGACGAAGCTGGGTTAAGTGGCAGTGGTGTCGGCAGCGTGGGAGGCGTTGGGTCGACTGGTGGTGCTACAGATGGTGCTGGTGATGCTACAGATGGGGCTGGTGGTGCTACAGACGGGGCTGCTACGGGTGGTGGTGCCGGCGAGGCTGGTAGAGGTGCTGCAACAGAAGATGCTACAGCCGGTGCTACAGGTGGTGCTACAGGTGGTTGCGCTGAAACTGGTGAGGCTGCTTCTGTTGGTTTTGGCGGTGGTGTGTTGTACGAGGAGGAGCGGAGGATAGCTGGGAAGGGGAGAGCAGAGAATGAAGAGAAGGGGAGAGCGGAGGAGACAGGGAGAACGGAGGTGAAAGGGAGAGAGGAGGAGAGGATAGGTAAGGAGGGGAGAAGAGTTAAAGAGGAAAGGGAGGTGGAAGACTGGAGGACAGGCGGGGAGAGCCGAGCAGTGGAGGAGAAAAGGAGAGCAGCGGATGGGGAGAGGGTAGTGAAAAAGGAGGGAGCAGTGGAGGAGGAGAGGGCAGTTGAAGAGGAGAGAGCGGTAAAGGACTTGAGAAGCAACATGGTTAAGTGCTTGGGGGAGGAAGTGGCTCGACGGGTCTTTGCCGCCATGCAGTCTCAGGAGGAGGAGTGCGGCAGGCAGATTCGCGAGCTGCATGAGTTACATGAGGTGCGGTGCGCGTGCGTGTGCTTGCTTGGGTTGGGTTGGGTGGCTTGGGGGGGGGAGTGGCTGGACGGGTCTTTGCCGCCATGCAGTCTCAGGAGGAGGAGTGCGCTAGGCAGATTCGCGAGCTGCACCATCTACCATGAGGTGCGGTGCACGTGTGTGTGCTTGCTTGGGTTGAGTGGCTTGGGCCTTGGGGTGAGTCTATGTCTGAGTCGACTCAAAAATAGACTCGTCTCAGGAAGAGGAGTGCAGCAGGCAGATTCGCGAGCTGCATCGTTTACTTGAGGTGTGTGTACTGTGTGTGTGTTCTGTAAGTCGAGTTTTGAGTCGACTCAAAACTTGTGTGTGTGCTTGCTTCTGAAAAATCTCTAGAGTCACATCGTTTACATGAGGTGTGTGTGTGTGTACTGTGTGTGTGTGTACTGTGTGTGTGTGCTGTGTGTGTGTGCTGTGTGTGTGCTGTGTGTGTGTGCTGTGTGTGTGTACTGTGTGTGTGTACTGTGTGTGTGTGCTTGCTTCTGAGAATTCTCTAGAGTGCGCGTGAGTCACATCATTTACATAGGTGCGCATGTGTGTGTGCCCCTGTTTTCCTCTCCCCCACGCTCTCCCCCCTTTCCCCCCCTTCCCCACCCCCTTTCCTCCGTCTTCTATGTCCACAGAAGCAGCGGCAGCTCCTATCTCAGCTACAGCCGGCAGTATTATCACACATAGGTGTTGTGTCATTGCTTCTGCCCTGCTCCCTTTGCCCCTGTTTCCCTCTTCCCCACTCCCCCCCACACCCCACCCTTCCTCCTCCGTTTCCTATGTCCACAGAAGCAGCGGCAGCGCTCAGGTACAACCGGCAGAGATACTCACGAGACATAATAATTCTCTCCGTATGAAATCCGCGTGTAGGGAGGTGCATTTTGAGGCGCCTCAAAAGGCAGCGCGCAGAGATACTCACGAGACGTCTCAAAAGCCGGCAGAGATACTCACGAGACGTCTCAAAAGCCTGCAGAGATACTCACGAGATGTCTCAAAAGCCGGCAGAGATACTCACGAGACGTCTCAAAAGCCGGCAGAGATACTCACGAGACGTCTCAAAAGCCGGCAGAGATACTCACGAGACGTCTCAAAAGCCGGCAGAGATACTCACGAGACGTCTCAAAAGCCGGCAGAGATACTCACGAGACGTCTCAAAAGCCGGCAGAGATACTCACGAGACGTCTCAAAAGCCGGCAGAGATACTCACGAGACGTCTCAAAAGCCGGCAGAGATACTCACGAGACGTCTCAAAAGCCGGCAGAGATACTCACGAGACGTCTCAAAAGCCGGCAGAGATACTCACGAGACGTCTCAAAAGCCGGCAGAGATACTCACGAGACGTCTCAAAAGCCGGCAGAGATACTCACGAGACGTCTCAAAAGCCGGCAGAGATACTCACGAGACGTCTCAAAAGCCGGCAGAGATACTCACGAGACGTCTCAAAAGCCGGCAGAGATACTCACGAGACGTCTCAAAAGCCGGCAGAGATACTCACGAGACGTCTCAAAAGCCGGCAGAGATACTCACGAGACGTCTCAAAAGCCGGCAGAGATACTCACGAGACGTCTCAAAAGCCGGCAGAGATACTCACGAGACGTCTCAAAAGCCGGCAGAGATACTCACGAGACGTCTCAAAAGCCGGCAGAGATACTCACGAGACGTCTCAAAAGCCGGCAGAGATACTCACGAGACGTCTCAAAAGCCGGCAGAGATACTCACGAGACGTCTCAAAAGCCGGCAGAGATACTCACGAGACGTCTCAAAAGCCGGCAGAGATACTCACGAGACGTCTCAAAAGCCGGCAGAGATACTCACGAGACGTCTCAAAAGCCGGCAGAGATACTCACGAGACGTCTCAAAAGCCGGCAGAGATACTCACGAGACGTCTCAAAAGCCGGCAGAGATACTCACGAGACGTCTCAAAAGCCGGCAGAGATACTCATGAGACGTCTCAAAAGCCGGCAGAGATACTCACGAGACGTCTCAAAAGCCCCCAACCCCCCCTCCTCCGCCCCCTCCCCGTCCCCCTCCTCTCCTTCCGCCCTTCCTTTCATGTCCACAGAAGCAGCGGCAGCTTCTGTCTCAGCTACAGCCGGCAGACATACCACCTCCCTCCTCCACCCCCACCTCATCCCTCCCCTTCCCTGCTGCTGCTCCTCGCTCCACCTCCTCCCTTCCCTCCCTGGCTGCTGCTCCTCCCGCGACCTCTCTCCATATGGGTGGAGGAGAAGCAACAGCAACAGCAACAGCCCCCCCTGCTACTCGCCCTTCCACCCTCTCTCCTACCGTTTCCGCACCTCTTTCCCGCAGCAGACCCACACCCAGTAAGTAATCCCAGTCTTTAGTCCGAGCTCTCTTGTCCCACATGGTGGTTGAATCTACTTCTGAGAATTCTCCAAGCCTCAACTCCCTATTTGCTCCTTCCTTTCCTCCTCCAAAACCTCCCCTACCTTTCCTCTCCCCTCCTCTCTTCCACCCTCCCTCTCTCGCCTTCCAAGTTCATATTGGGAGTAGCAGCAAACCTAAAGAAATCGCTTCCCCTTCCTTTCCTCAGCGTTCAAAACCGCCTGAGAGTTGGGCTGGGGCCACCTTCTCATCAATCCGTGCTTTCGTCCCACCTGGTCTGTCTGCCCCTTCCATTCCCCCTCCCCTCCACCCTCATCCTCTCTCTCTCTCTCCCCCATCTTCCCCTTGCCTTTCCTCAGCGTTCAAACCGCCTGAGAGTTGGGCTGGGGCCACCTTCTCATCAATCCGTGCTTTCGTCCTACCTGGTCTGTTTGCCCCTTCCATTCCCCCTCTTCCATCCTCTTCCCCACTCTCTCTATCCCTCGCGCCCTCCCTCCCTCCTTCCCTCCCTCCCTCCCTCCCTCCCTCCCTCCCTCCCTCCCTCCCTCCCTCCCTCCCTCCCTCCCTCCCTCCCTCCCTCCCTCCCTCCCTCCCTCCCTCCCTCCCTCCCTCCCTCCCTCCCTCCCTCCCTCCCTCCCTCCCTCCCACCCTCTCTCTTCCCCACCCTTCAACCCTCCTGCAAGCTGCGCCCGGACCACCTATGCATCCAACTGCCAACAGTGCTCCGGTCCTAACCCGTCCTTGCGTTCAACTCACCGGAGAGCTGGCCTCGGGCCGTCTATGCATCTTTTGAGACGTCTCCGCGCCCCCCTTTCTCCTCTCTCAGACTCGCAGCATTCAACCCGCCTGGAAGCGGGGCTCTGGCTGTCTGCATGCAGCAGTGCTCTTGTCCGGACCTCCTAACCAGTCCACGCTCCACCTCTCTCCGCGCGTCCCTTTTCTCCTCTCGTAAACTTTCAGCGTTCAACCCGCCGGAGAGCAGGGCCCAACACCCCCTCCTCCTCCCACCTCCCCCTCCCTGTCCCCCTCCCCGTCCCCTCCCCCCCGCCTTTAATTCCGCAGCGTTCAACCCGCCGGAGAGCAGGGCCCAACACCCCCCCTCCCACCTCCTCCTCCCCGTCCCCCTCCCCTCCCTCTTTTATTCCGCAGCCTTCAACCCGCCAGAGAGCTGGGCCCGGGCCGCCTATGCCTGCAACGGTGCTCCGGACCTCCTAACCAGTCGCTCTCTCCCCGCCTCCCTTTCTCCTCTCTTATCCTCTCAGCGTTCAACCCGCCTGAGAGCTGGGCTCGGGCCGCCTATGCCTGCAACGGTGCTCCGGACCTCCTAACCAGTCGCTCTCTCCCCGCCTCCCTTTCTCCTCTCTTATCCTCTCAGCGTTCAACCCGCCTGAGAGCTGGGCTCGGGCCGCCTATGCCTGCAACGGTGCTCCGGACCTCCTAACCAGTCGCTCTCTCCCCGCCTCCCTTTCTCCTCTCTTATCCTCTCAGCGTTCAACCCGCCTGAGAGCTGGGCTCGGGCCGCCTATGCCTGCAACGGTGCTCCGGACTTGAACGCGGATCCGGAGGCTGACGCCCCAGCAGACGCGGCAGCAGCAGAAGCACCAGCAGCAGAAGCAGCAGCAGGCATGCCAGCAGGAGTGGCAGCAGCTGCAGCTGTAGCAGGATCAGGAGCAGGAGCAGGAATAGGAGGAGGGGCAGGGTGGCGCATAGGGTTAAGAAACACTGCAGCAGTTGATGCTGATGTGAAACAAACGCCTTCTGAGCTTCATCCTAGCAGCTTCAGAAAGAGGGATCGTGTGGATTTCAGTAGACTAGAGAGCTACGGGAGAGGGGAGAGAGGAGAAAGAGACGATCGGGAATCGGAGAGGTGTGGAAAGAAGGGTAGAGGAGGCTTGGATTTCGACCTGGAGTCCGAACCTGCTGCTGAGGCTCGGGCTGATGAGGGTCGGTCAGGGTTTGATCTGGAGGCTGTTCCAACGGCTGAGATCGGCGATGGAGCAGGCAGAGGATCTGGACGGCAGGGGCTGGACTTGGGGCAGGATCCGACGGTTGAGGTTGCTTCGGAGCGAGATCTGCGGATGGGATCGCAAGCAAGTGGTTTGCACTGTTCCACAACCGAACCTGCCAGAGCAGATAGGACGGGAACAGAGCTGGGCTCTGGTTCGGCTGTATCCGAACCTGGTGACCCTAGGTCTGGGACAGGCCTGGGCGCAGGCCTCTGCTTATCAGGGTCCTTTGCAAAACCAGAACATACCTTTGAGGCGCCTCAAAAGTCGGAGATGGGAGCAGGTCTCTGTTTATCAGGATCTATGGCCGAACCAGAAGCTAGTGGTGAAGATGCCGCACGCAGCGCCAGCGCATACCCGCCCCAGTCGCTTCCTTTCAGTTTAGAATCTTCAAAAGCTGCAGCTGAAGCAGATTTAGAAGCAGAAGCAGAAGCTGGAGTGAAAGATCAAGCCACGGCTGAAGCTGAGGGTGTTGCGGCTAGGTCTGAAGACAGGTGTGGTGGTAAGCTTGACCTGGAAGCTGGTTTGTCCAAAGCAGATCCGCCCCAGTCGCTTCCTTTCTGTTCACTTTCAGAAGCAGGCGCCAAAGCAAAAGTGGAGGGTGTTGCAGCTGGGTCTGAAGACAGGTGTGGTGGTAAGCTTGACCTGGAAGCTAATTTGTCCAGAGCAGACCCGCCCCGATCGCTTCCTTTCAGTTCGAAGCCTTCAAAAGCAGAAGCTGAAGCAAAAGTGGAAACAGAAGCTAATGACGCAGCTGCAGCTGGTTCTGCTGAAGGGTGTGTTGGTAAGTGTGACCTGGAAGCTGATCCATCACAAGCCGGTGCGCCCCGGTCGCTTCCTTTTAATCCAAAGCCTTTGGAAGTAAAAGCCGAAGCTACAGCCGGGGGTACGCTTGACCTGGAAGCTGGTTTGTCCCGAGAAGATCCGGTACAGCTGCTCCCTTCTACTTCAAAGGTCTCAGAAGCTGAAGCCGAAGCAAAGGCTGCACCTGAACCTGCACCTGAACCTGCACCTGAACCTGCACCTACGACTGCACCTGAAACTGCACCTGAAATTGCACCTGAGACTGCTCCTGGAATTGCACCTGAAACTGCACCTGAAGCTGAAGCAGCTGGGCCTGCAGTAGGGTGTGGTAAGCCTGAATCTGAGGCGGATCAGATGGGAGCAAATAAGACCTCTGGAGATCCCACTTCAGCAGATAAGACCTCCCCAGTTACGATCTCTGGGCATAAGACCTCCGGAGATCTGATTTCAATTGATAAGACCTCGCAAGATATCACCTTGGAAGATAAGACCTTGGCAGATGAGACCGTGGCAGGTAAGACCTTGGCAGATGAGACCTTGGCAAATAAGACCTTGGCAGATGAGACCTCGAGAAGTATGACCTCAACAGGTAAAACTGTTGGAAATCCGAACACAGAAAATTTATCTCAAGAAAATGTGATTTCGGAAAAAGGGTCTGGAGCGGATCTTGTTGCGGTGGAGAAGGGTTCGGTTGGGTTGGCTGGTGGGAAGGGGAGGCGAGACGTACAAGCTGACTCTGATCTTCTCAAAACAGACCCTCTGGAAAGAAACTCTCTCAAGACAGACCCTCCCAATACAGACTTTCCGAAAACAGACCCTCCCAAAACAGACCCTTCCAATACAGGCTTTCCGGAAACAGACCCTCCCAAAACAGACCCTTCCAATACAGGCTTTCCGGAAACAGACCCTCCCAAAACAGACCCTTCCAATACAGGCTTTCCGGAAACAGACCCTCCCAAAACAGACCCAGACCCGCCAAAAACTGACTCTCTCAAGAGTGAACTTGAAGCTGCTGGTTTGGATGCCATAGGGGTGGGAAAAAACAAGGGTGCATCGGCTGATGGAAAGGGGAGCATCGAGCAAAAGCTGGATGCAGATTCTCCCAGATTAGATTCTTCCATATCAGATCCTTGTAGATCAGATCCTCCCAGATTAGATTCTTCCAGATCGGATCCAGATGCTCCTGGAGTGCAAAGGGAACAAGAGGAGAAGGAGGAGAAAAGGGAGAGAGGAGAAGGGGAGGAGGAGCAGAAGGCGAGAGCGGAGGAGGGGGAGTGGGAGGAAGAGAAAAGGGAGGCAGAGGACGGTATGAGAGAGAGGGGAGGAGGGGTGCGAGCAAAGGAAGGAGAGGAAAGAGGAGAAGGAAAAGAAGAAGAAGGGTTGCAGCAGCAGGAGAGGGAGGGAACGGACCGTGTTGGAGAGGATAAGGGGAAAGGAAGGGAAGGGGAGCAATGTGAGAAAGGGGATGCAGGAAAGGGAGGGAAAAGGAGAGGCGATGGGGGAGTTGAGGTTTCTGCAGAGGAGGAAGGGGTTACGGTGGCTCGTGTTGACAGGGAAATGGTGGTTGATGATTGCAATAGTGTGGAGAGAAATACAATGGGTGGTGTTAGGGGTAAAGGGGACATGAAGGAAGGGGAGAACGAGTGGGTTGAGAGAGAGGAGGGGGCGAAAGGGGAGGGGGAGAAAGTGGGAGGGGAGAGAGCAGAAGAGAAAGAGGGAAGGGAGAAAGAGGAAGGGGAGGAAGCAGTGGGGAAGAAAGAGAAAGAGGAAGGAGACGCCGGAGGAGAGGAGGGAGGAGGAGAGATAAAGGAAGGAGCTAAAGCAAAGATCGAGAAAAAGGAGGAAGTAGAGGAGGGAGGAGTGAAGATAGGAAAGGGTACCCAAGATAAGGTTGAAAATATCAATGAATCGGAAGCAACGAGGCAGGAGGAAGTGATACTGCTGAAGCGGGAGGTTGTATTGGGAGACACAGAATCAAGGCCGAGGGAAAAGGGAGGGAGAGACAAAGCTATGTTGAGGGAATCACGAGAAATTAGCCTGTATTTACCCGGCGAGGAGAAAGCGCATACTGGGAGCAGGAAGGGGAAATAATGGAGAGTATACGGAAAGAAGATGGCATGCAGCTTGCGGGTCTCTTATCGTGTACAAGATACAGAGAAAAACTCAACAAGTAGGAATGATGACCTGAGATTAGAACACAATGTAGGAACAAACTGCTGAGGGTGAGTGATAGGTAGTAAGATTTTCATGAGCGTACGCTTCAGAGAAATACCACATCAAGCTTCTACTAAAGAAGAAACAGAATCTGTATGTACCGCCTTATATCCATTGCGCGGTCGCTCGATTTAGTGTCGTGACATTCTGCCGGTGAACTGCATCTGTGTTCTGTGTCAGTGTTGCTGCACCCTGCAGTCACCCCACCAGAATCTAGCCAGCAAATTTGACCTTGCTACAGAAAGTACTGTAGAGTTTCTGGGCTTGTCGTCCCTCGAACCGCTTCAAGTACGGTCCAATAAGAAATAACCACGTGCCTAGTCGATTCGCCCCTCGAAAGTACCTCCCCCTGCGCTGCGAGTCGCCCTCATTTCGCTCGATATGTATCGCAGAAACCGATGCGAAGTCGTCTGTTCAGTCGACGACAGCCCTCGTTGGCCCATACGAACACGGCTGGGCGAATTTGCTTCGCGGCATCCGCTTGGACATCACTATTATTTGCCACCGACTTCACAATGTTTGTTCTGACCGCTGCGAATTTGATATCCGTAGTGTTTGACCAGTCGTTGTACAGACCCGTTTCTATATGCGTAATTATTATGTCAAAATCCTACAGATGTTCTCGTTTATAGTCTGACGGATCAACATCGCCGCGCGCGGACTATGTGGCATACCCTTCAAACCCCAGGCAAAACTCGATACTTATAGTCCGGTTCAGGAAAATTTCATGAAGAGTAGTTGTTTTGCTACTAGTTTCTGGAGTTTGGCATTTACGTAGATTTGGACCGCGCTTGCTTCAACTTCCAGTCGCACGGTTTTCCACGCTGATCAATGTCGCATGACTAACGGTCAAAACTAAACAAAATAAACTATGATTTGGGGGTCGAATAGTAACCCAAAAACTTCGTTTCTACCCTGTAAGCGAGATAAATGAGATGTCATTGTCGATCGCGCTGGAAACAGCGCGACAGGATTGAGAGTTAGTCGCAGTCAAGAGAAACAATTAATTGCTATTAAAAAGTTAAAATATCGAATCAATGATCCCTTTTTTTCGTTTTCTTTGAATGTTGGGCTGGTTTGATCTGGAGCCTCTGATTGGCTGCGGAGCTGATTCGTGCAATGATTCGGTCAAGCTGCAAAATTTCCCGCCAAAAACGGGACTATAGGGGTCGGGCCAACCCTAGGCGATATCGGAAAATTCTACTCAGGGGGGAAAAGGGACTCTCTCAACGAGAGCCTCTAACCCGGAACACTTGTACCATAAACGGCTCGTACATATCACGTGATTGAGCCCCTTATCGAATTAACAAAGCTTTCCATACACCCTTGCACTTTTTATGACCAAGGGCAGTCCTTCGGTCAGTTTGAATGGAGACCAACTCCTCCTCCACCAAGCTCACCAGGCAGAGATGGGCCTTTCATCAGCCTCAGGCCACACGAGCTTGCCCTCGAGATTGTTTGGGCTTGAACCTTGGGAGGAACTCTCCACTCCACACCACATACGTCCTCCTCATGACGAGTCTCTCAACCAACATTATCTTCTCAACACACGCATCGCATTCCATACGTGAGGCAATCCCGAGAAGCAACTCCCTCCACTGAAACCATCCCAGTTTCGATGTTGACTGGATCCTCGTAATAGATTCACCGTCTACACGAGCTGCTGCGCTACGCTCGTAGTTTCCTGTTTTCCTTCGTGGTTACATTATTGCGTCGGTAGTATTCCCTGCGCTACGACTGATCCATTACCTTTCAATTGACCTAAGTGATCATACAGCTCTTTACGTTCGATCGTTGACAGGAAGCATTACCATTTGCTCTTACGACTCCCGAACGACACCAGAGTGATCGCAACCTAAAGCATGTCGTCGTAACGAATATACGATCGTCGTTCAGGAGAAGGTCAACGTGTATCACGTAGCCTTATCATTGTTGGCTCCCCAAGTGCGTCTCTTAGAGGACCACCATGGTTTCGTTTTACGAGTCGAAGCTACGTTGCAGTGGTTTCCGCGATCGCCGTTCCCAATCTAGACAACCCTTCAGTTTCGCACCTCTAATTACATCCTTATCCCATCGGTTACCATTCGCGCTGCTACTTCTGGCGGCTCTCCCAGCAACCCTATTACCCTGTCAAATCCAAGCTACCCGGCCTTCCGTACCCGTTACAAGCGCCACCGATTTCGTGACAAGACCAGGTTCTAGGGTCGGTTCCAGACCCGTTCGATCTCTCCGTTCGCTCGTCGAATCCCAGCCGTCCGATGGGTCATCCTCGTTTTACGTCCTCCCCGTCACCCACTCATACGCGCATCTCTCCGAAAGCTCCTTCCACGCGCGTCACGGGCAGCCACGTGGCGTCATGACCGCAGATCACGCCCGACTGCTCAAACTGCACGATCGTCGCCGGCTCCTCCGGCTTCAAGGAAAGTCTCCCTCCGCCAAAACCGGCACAGAAAACGGCGCAGTTAGGGCGGGAACAGGGGATTGGACGATCAGTGCAAACGTGGGGAACATATCTCTGGCCGAAGGGACGGTGACGGAAGTGGGAGGCGGAGCGTTCTACCAGCTAGGAGGCAATATGGAGATGACTATAGCGGGGTAGGTTCTAGCTGAGATGACTATAGCGGGTTAGGTTCTAGCTGAGATGACTATAACGGGTATGTGCGAGGTGACTGTAGCGGGACTTGTACGATTGGGAATGACAATGAGCATATGTGGGTCATTTGAGACTGAGGACTCAGGACTGAAGATTGCAGCACTTGTTCTCCTTCACGTCACTGCAGTCCTCTCACACGTCACTTGTTCTGCACTTGTTCCCCCTCCCACGTTAAGTCCCCTCCCGTTTCATCCTCGTTACTCGCACTGGCCCTGATGCACTCACCCTGAATTCGTCACCCTGCCCGTCGTTCCCTGTCTCCAGCCTCTATTGGGCGGAGGTGCAGCTCGGGCAGCCCGTGCAAAAGTTTAAGGTTCAGATTGACACGGGCAGTGACGTCATGTGGGTCACCTGCGCGCCCTGCCTCGCCTGTCCGGTCGCTTCCACAGTGGTGCGTGGCTTCTCATTCCGGTTGTGGGGAGTTTAGAGGAGTAAGAAACGGTTAGCAGGAGGGGTTTACGTGCCTTGCAACATTTCCAAGTCACTGACTCCTGACGTGCCTCACTAATTCATCACCACTGTCCCCACCCCCTCCCCACCCTCCGCCCCACCCGCCCCCAACCCCTCCCCCTCCCCTCCTCTCCCCAATTCAATGTCTCTCCTGCAAGTCTTTTTCTCCTTTTCTTACAGCACTACCAAGTCACTGATCCCTGACGTGCCTGAAAAGCACACCCTCTTATTCATCACCACTATCCTCCCCCACTTCCCCAACACCGCATCTCTCGCACAGGTCCTTTCCCCGCCGTACGACATTACCAAGTCGTCAACAGCTCAGGTCAGCTGGGTGGGTTGGTGGTGCATGGGGGGATGTTGGTGGGCTGGTGCGTGGGGGAGGTGCTGGGTGGGTGGGCAGATTGATGTAAAGGCGCTGCAACTAGTCATGCCATCTCGACTTCTCCTGCTACTTGCTTTGGGTTGAGGCCCTTGCTCTTTCTCCTGCTACTTGCTTTGGGTTGAGGCCCTTGCTCTTTCTCCTGCTACTTGCTTTGGGTTGAGGCCCTTGCTCTTTCTCCTGCTACTTGCATTGCACACATGTTTAGCCGTCCTTTATTTCCTGCCTCCTCCTCCCCCTCCTCCAACCCCTCCCTCCCCTTCTCTCTCTTTTTTTCATACCAGGTGGTTGATTGCGGCACCTCCACCTGCTCGGCGCTGCAGCAAACCAGACGAACCCTCGGGCAGGGATGCCTGGACATCTTGTATCCCAACTCAGGGGACCCGCGGTGCTACTACGGCATCCAGTACGCCGACAATTCCAGCAGCACCGGCTACTTGGTTAAAGACCGGCTTACCTTCTCTACTTTGGGCGGTGATCCCGCTTCTATGGACTACCTGTTTGGGTGAGCGCGAGGGGGCGGGCAGGGGCGGGTAGGGGCGGGCAGGGGGGGGCAGGGGCGGGGAGGGGGGCAGGGGAAAGGAGGGGAAAGGAGAGTAGAAAGAGAGGGGAAAGAGGGGCTGTCTGTGTGGACATGCTGCACCCCATCCAACTCGAGGGACCCGCGCGGTGCTACTACGGCATCCAGTACGCCGACAACTCCAGCAGCACCGGCTATTTGGTAAGGGACCGGCTCTCGTTTTCTACTCTGGGGGGCGATCCCGCCTCCATGGACTATCTCTTTGGGTGAGCGCGAGGGTAGGGAGAGGGGGGCTGGGGACGGGAGAGGGAGAGGGAGAGGGAGAGGGAGAGGGAGAGGGAGAGGGAGAGGGAGAGGGAGAGGGAGAGGGAGAGGGAGAGGGAGAAAGGGCATGGGCTCGCTCTCCATGCTCACGCACATGCAGGCAGCATGCAATACCACTGCTTGCTGCGTCAGCATGGGCCGTTGATCTCCTCTCTCCTTTCATCGCTCATGCACATTGCCTTACCTCCTGCCCGCCCCCGTCGCCCCATGCTCCCCTCACTCCTTCACCAGTTGTGGGTTCCAGCAGTCAGGCAACCTGGTATCCGGAAACCATCTAGTGGACGGGGTCATGGGGCTCAACATGGGGTCGCTCCCCATGCTCACTCTCTTTCCCCCTCCCCTCGCACTTTTGAGGCGCCTCAAAACTTTTGAGGACTTTTGAGGCGCCTCAAAAGTCTTTCCCCCTCCCCTCGCACTTTTGAGGCGCCTCAAAAGTCTTTCCCCCTCCCCTCGCACTTTTGAGGCGCCTCAAAAGTCTTTCCCCCTCCCCTCGCACACACCGTTCCCCTCCAGCTGTGGGTTCAAGCAGTCGGGCAACCTGGTATCGGGCAACCACCTAGTAGACGGGGTGATGGGGCTCAACATGGGGGCGCTCTCCATGCTCACTCTCTTTCCCCCTCCCCTCGCACTTTTGAGGCGCCTCAAAACTTTTGAGGACTTTTGAGGCGCCTCAAAAGTCTTTCCCCCTCCCCTCGCACTTTTGAGGCGCCTCAAAAGTCTTTCCCCCTCCCCTCGCACTTTTGAGGCGCCTCAAAAGTCTTTCCCCCTCCCCTCGCACACACCGTTCCCCTCCAGCTGTGGGTTCAAGCAGTCGGGCAACCTGGTATCGGGCAACCACCTAGTAGACGGGGTGATGGGGCTCAACATGGGGGCGCTCTCCATGCTCACTCTCTTTCCCCCTCCCCTCGCACTTTTGAGGCGCCTCAAAACTTTTGAGGACTTTTGAGGCGCCTCAAAAGTCTTTCCCCCTCCCCTCGCACTTTTGAGGCGCCTCAAAAGTCTTTCCCCCTCCCCTCGCACTTTTGAGGCGCCTCAAAAGTCTTTCCCCCTCCCCTCGCACACACCGTTCCCCTCCAGCTGTGGGTTCAAGCAGTCGGGCAACCTGGTATCGGGCAACCACCTAGTAGACGGGGTGATGGGGCTCAACATGGGGGCGCTCTCCATGCTCACTCTCTTTCCCCCTCCCCTCGCACTTTTGAGGCGCCTCAAAACTTTTGAGGACTTTTGAGGCGCCTCAAAAGTCTTTCCCCCTCCCCTCGCACTTTTGAGGCGCCTCAAAAGTCTTTCCCCCTCCCCTCGCACTTTTGAGGCGCCTCAAAAGTCTTTCCCCCTCCCCTCGCACACACCGTTCCCCTCCAGCTGTGGGTTCAAGCAGTCGGGCAACCTGGTATCGGGCAACCACCTAGTAGACGGGGTGATGGGGCTCAACATGGGGGCGCTCTCCATGCTCACTCTCTTTCCCCCTCCCCTCGCACTTTTGAGGCGCCTCAAAACTTTTGAGGACTTTTGAGGCGCCTCAAAAGTCTTTCCCCCTCCCCTCGCACTTTTGAGGCGCCTCAAAAGTCTTTCCCCCTCCCCTCGCACTTTTGAGGCGCCTCAAAAGTCTTTCCCCCTCCCCTCGCACACACCGTTCCCCTCCAGCTGTGGGTTCAAGCAGTCGGGCAACCTGGTATCGGGCAACCACCTAGTAGACGGGGTGATGGGGCTCAACATGGGGGCGCTCTCCATGCTCACTCTCTTTCCCCCTCCCCTCGCACTTTTGAGGCGCCTCAAAACTTTTGAGGACTTTTGAGGCGCCTCAAAAGTCTTTCCCCCTCCCCTCGCACTTTTGAGGCGCCTCAAAAGTCTTTCCCCCTCCCCTCGCACTTTTGAGGCGCCTCAAAAGTCTTTCCCCCTCCCCTCGCACACACCGTTCCCCTCCAGCTGTGGGTTCAAGCAGTCGGGCAACCTGGTATCGGGCAACCACCTAGTAGACGGGGTGATGGGGCTCAACATGGGGGCGCTCTCCATGCTCACTCTCTTTCCCCCTCCCCTCGCACTTTTGAGGCGCCTCAAAACTTTTGAGGACTTTTGAGGCGCCTCAAAAGTCTTTCCCCCTCCCCTCGCACTTTTGAGGCGCCTCAAAAGTCTTTCCCCCTCCCCTCGCACTTTTGAGGCGCCTCAAAAGTCTTTCCCCCTCCCCTCGCACACACCGTTCCCCTCCAGCTGTGGGTTCAAGCAGTCGGGCAACCTGGTATCGGGCAACCACCTAGTAGACGGGGTGATGGGGCTCAACATGGGGGCGCTCTCCATGCTCACTCTCTTTCCCCCTCCCCTCGCACTTTTGAGGCGCCTCAAAACTTTTGAGGACTTTTGAGGCGCCTCAAAAGTCTTTCCCCCTCCCCTCGCACTTTTGAGGCGCCTCAAAAGTCTTTCCCCCTCCCCTCGCACTTTTGAGGCGCCTCAAAAGTCTTTCCCCCTCCCCTCGCACACACCGTTCCCCTCCAGCTGTGGGTTCAAGCAGTCGGGCAACCTGGTATCGGGCAACCACCTAGTAGACGGGGTGATGGGGCTCAACATGGGGGCGCTCTCCATGCTCACTCTCTTTCCCCCTCCCCTCGCACTTTTGAGGCGCCTCAAAACTTTTGAGGACTTTTGAGGCGCCTCAAAAGTCTTTCCCCCTCCCCTCGCACTTTTGAGGCGCCTCAAAAGTCTTTCCCCCTCCCCTCGCACTTTTGAGGCGCCTCAAAAGTCTTTCCCCCTCCCCTCGCACACACCGTTCCCCTCCAGCTGTGGGTTCAAGCAGTCGGGCAACCTGGTATCGGGCAACCACCTAGTAGACGGGGTGATGGGGCTCAACATGGGGGCGCTCTCCATGCTCACTCTCTTTCCCCCTCCCCTCGCACTTTTGAGGCGCCTCAAAACTTTTGAGGACTTTTGAGGCGCCTCAAAAGTCTTTCCCCCTCCCCTCGCACTTTTGAGGCGCCTCAAAAGTCTTTCCCCCTCCCCTCGCACTTTTGAGGCGCCTCAAAAGTCTTTCCCCCTCCCCTCGCACACACCGTTCCCCTCCAGCTGTGGGTTCAAGCAGTCGGGCAACCTGGTATCGGGCAACCACCTAGTAGACGGGGTGATGGGGCTCAACATGGGGGCGCTCTCCATGCTCACTCTCTTTCCCCCTCCCCTCGCACTTTTGAGGCGCCTCAAAAGTCTTTCCCCCTCCCCTCGCACTTTTGAGGCGCCTCAAAAGTCTTTCCCCCTCCCCTCGCACACACCGTTCCCCTCCAGCTGTGGGTTCAAGCAGTCGGGCAACCTGGTATCGGGCAACCACCTAGTAGACGGGGTGATGGGGCTCAACATGGGGGCGCTCTCCATGCTCACTCTCTTTCCCCCTCCCCTCGCACTTTTGAGGCGCCTCAAAACTTTTGAGGACTTTTGAGGCGCCTCAAAAGTCTTTCCCCCTCCCCTCGCACTTTTGAGGCGCCTCAAAAGTCTTTCCCCCTCCCCTCGCACTTTTGAGGCGCCTCAAAAGTCTTTCCCCCTCCCCTCGCACACACCGTTCCCCTCCAGCTGTGGGTTCAAGCAGTCGGGCAACCTGGTATCGGGCAACCACCTAGTAGACGGGGTGATGGGGCTCAACATGGGGGCGCTCTCCATGCTCACTCTCTTTCCCCCTCCCCTCGCACTTTTGAGGCGCCTCAAAACTTTTGAGGACTTTTGAGGCGCCTCAAAAGTCTTTCCCCCTCCCCTCGCACTTTTGAGGCGCCTCAAAAGTCTTTCCCCCTCCCCTCGCACTTTTGAGGCGCCTCAAAAGTCTTTCCCCCTCCCCTCGCACACACCGTTCCCCTCCAGCTGTGGGTTCAAGCAGTCGGGCAACCTGGTATCGGGCAACCACCTAGTAGACGGGGTGATGGGGCTCAACATGGGGGCGCTCTCCATGCTCACTCTCTTTCCCCCTCCCCTCGCACTTTTGAGGCGCCTCAAAACTTTTGAGGACTTTTGAGGCGCCTCAAAAGTCTTTCCCCCTCCCCTCGCACTTTTGAGGCGCCTCAAAAGTCTTTCCCCCTCCCCTCGCACTTTTGAGGCGCCTCAAAAGTCTTTCCCCCTCCCCTCGCACACACCGTTCCCCTCCAGCTGTGGGTTCAAGCAGTCGGGCAACCTGGTATCGGGCAACCACCTAGTAGACGGGGTGATGGGGCTCAACATGGGGGCGCTCTCCATGCTCACTCTCTTTCCCCCTCCCCTCGCACTTTTGAGGCGCCTCAAAACTTTTGAGGACTTTTGAGGCGCCTCAAAAGTCTTTCCCCCTCCCCTCGCACTTTTGAGGCGCCTCAAAAGTCTTTCCCCCTCCCCTCGCACTTTTGAGGCGCCTCAAAAGTCTTTCCCCCTCCCCTCGCACACACCGTTCCCCTCCAGCTGTGGGTTCAAGCAGTCGGGCAACCTGGTATCGGGCAACCACCTAGTAGACGGGGTGATGGGGCTCAACATGGGGGCGCTCTCCATGCTCACTCTCTTTCCCCCTCCCCTCGCACTTTTGAGGCGCCTCAAAACTTTTGAGGACTTTTGAGGCGCCTCAAAAGTCTTTCCCCCTCCCCTCGCACTTTTGAGGCGCCTCAAAAGTCTTTCCCCCTCCCCTCGCACTTTTGAGGCGCCTCAAAAGTCTTTCCCCCTCCCCTCGCACACACCGTTCCCCTCCAGCTGTGGGTTCAAGCAGTCGGGCAACCTGGTATCGGGCAACCACCTAGTAGACGGGGTGATGGGGCTCAACATGGGGGCGCTCTCCATGCTCACTCTCTTTCCCCCTCCCCTCGCACTTTTGAGGCGCCTCAAAACTTTTGAGGACTTTTGAGGCGCCTCAAAAGTCTTTCCCCCTCCCCTCGCACTTTTGAGGCGCCTCAAAAGTCTTTCCCCCTCCCCTCGCACTTTTGAGGCGCCTCAAAAGTCTTTCCCCCTCCCCTCGCACACACCGTTCCCCTCCAGCTGTGGGTTCAAGCAGTCGGGCAACCTGGTATCGGGCAACCACCTAGTAGACGGGGTGATGGGGCTCAACATGGGGGCGCTCTCCATGCTCACTCTCTTTCCCCCTCCCCTCGCACTTTTGAGGCGCCTCAAAACTTTTGAGGACTTTTGAGGCGCCTCAAAAGTCTTTCCCCCTCCCCTCGCACTTTTGAGGCGCCTCAAAAGTCTTTCCCCCTCCCCTCGCACTTTTGAGGCGCCTCAAAAGTCTTTCCCCCTCCCCTCGCACACACCGTTCCCCTCCAGCTGTGGGTTCAAGCAGTCGGGCAACCTGGTATCGGGCAACCACCTAGTAGACGGGGTGATGGGGCTCAACATGGGGGCGCTCTCCATGCTCACTCTCTTTCCCCCTCCCCTCGCACTTTTGAGGCGCCTCAAAACTTTTGAGGACTTTTGAGGCGCCTCAAAAGTCTTTCCCCCTCCCCTCGCACTTTTGAGGCGCCTCAAAAGTCTTTCCCCCTCCCCTCGCACTTTTGAGGCGCCTCAAAAGTCTTTCCCCCTCCCCTCGCACACACCGTTCCCCTCCAGCTGTGGGTTCAAGCAGTCGGGCAACCTGGTATCGGGCAACCACCTAGTAGACGGGGTGATGGGGCTCAACATGGGGGCGCTCTCCATGCTCACTCTCTTTCCCCCTCCCCTCGCACTTTTGAGGCGCCTCAAAACTTTTGAGGACTTTTGAGGCGCCTCAAAAGTCTTTCCCCCTCCCCTCGCACTTTTGAGGCGCCTCAAAAGTCTTTCCCCCTCCCCTCGCACTTTTGAGGCGCCTCAAAAGTCTTTCCCCCTCCCCTCGCACACACCGTTCCCCTCCAGCTGTGGGTTCAAGCAGTCGGGCAACCTGGTATCGGGCAACCACCTAGTAGACGGGGTGATGGGGCTCAACATGGGGGCGCTCTCCATGCTCACTCTCTTTCCCCCTCCCCTCGCACTTTTGAGGCGCCTCAAAACTTTTGAGGACTTTTGAGGCGCCTCAAAAGTCTTTCCCCCTCCCCTCGCACTTTTGAGGCGCCTCAAAAGTCTTTCCCCCTCCCCTCGCACTTTTGAGGCGCCTCAAAAGTCTTTCCCCCTCCCCTCGCACACACCGTTCCCCTCCAGCTGCGGGTTCAAGCAGTCGGGCAACCTGGTATCGGGCAACCACCTAGTAGACGGGGTGATGGGGCTCAACATGGGGGCGCTCTCCATGCTCACTCAGATGCAGGTGGCACGCAAGACCAACGGCGTGTTTGCGCACTGTCTAGGGGGCGAGGAGCTCGGTGGTGGGAGTCTCATTTTCGGCACAGTTCTGGAGGATGGGCTGCTGTACACGAGTCTACTGGACGATAGGTGAGGGGAATGATGGTGCCAGGTAAGGTGAGTGCAATTCGGCAGGTGAGGGGTTTATGTGGATGGTCTCTATGCTCACTCAAATGCAGGCGGCACGCAAGACCAACGGCGTCTTTGCGCACTGCCTAGGGGGAGAGGAGCTCGGGGGAGGTAGTCTGATTTTTGGAACGGTGCTGGAGGATGGGCTGCTGTACACGAGTCTGCTGGACGACAGGTGAGAGGAATGATGGTTGGTTGGTGTTAGGGCTAGTGATGACAGGTGGGGCACTGCCTGGGAGGCGAGGAGTTGGGGGGAAGGAGTTTGATCTTTGGGACGGTGCTGGAAGATGGGCTGCTATACACGAGTCTATTGGACGACAGGTGAGGGAATCCGCCAGGTGAGGGGTTTATGTGGGGTGCTTGGTCTATGCTCACACAGATGCAGGGTATCTCATCTGCTTTTGAGTCGACTCGAAAGCAGATCTATGCTCACACAAATGGATGGTACTGAGTCGTGTTTTGAGTCGACTCAATAGCAGATCTATGCTCACACAAATGGATGGTACTGAGTCGTGTTTTGAGTCGACTCAATAGCAGATCTATGCTCACACAAATGGATGGTACTGAGTCGTGTTTTGAGTCGACTCAATAGCAGATCTATGCTCACACAAATGGATGGTACTGAGTCGTGTTTTGAGTCGACTCAATAGCAGATCTATGCTCACACAAATGGATGGTACTGAGTCGTGTTTTGAGTCGACTCAATAGCAGATCTATGCTCACACAAATGGATGGTACTGAGTCGTGTTTTGAGTCGACTCAATAGCAGATCTATGCTCACGCAAATGGATGGTACTGAGTCGTGTTTTGAGTCGACTCAATAGCAGATCTATGCTCACACAAATGGATGGTACTGAGTCGTGTTTTGAGTCGACTCAATAGCAGATCTATGCTCACACAAATGGATGGTACTGAGTCGTGTTTTGAGTCGACTCAATAGCAGATCTATGCTCACACAAATGGATGGTACTGAGTCGTGTTTTGAGTCGACTCAATAGCAGATCTATGCTCACACAAATGGATGGTACTGAGTCGTGTTTTGAGTCGACTCAATAGCAGATCTATGCTCACACAAATGGATGGTACTGAGTCGTGTTTTGAGTCGACTCAATAGCAGATCTATGCTCACACAAATGGATGGTACTGAGTCGTGTTTTGAGTCGACTCAATAGCAGATCTATGCTCACACAAATGGATGGTACTGAGTCGTGTTTTGAGTCGACTCAATAGCAGATCTATGCTCACACAAATGCAGGGTACTGAGTCGTGTTTTGAGTCGACTCAATAGCAGATCTATGCTCACACAAATGCAGGGTACTGAGTCGTGTTTTGAGTCGACTCAATAGCAGATCTATGCTCACACAAATGCAGGGTACTGAGTCAGTGTTTTGAGTCGACTCGAAAGCAGATCTATGCTCACACAAATGCAGGGTACTGAGTCGTGTTTTGAGTCGACTCGAAAGCAGATCTATGCTCACACAAATGGATGGTACTGAGTCGTGTTTTGAGTCGACCCGAAAGCAGATCTATGCTCAAACAAATGCAGGGTACTGAGTCGTGTTTTGATTCGACTCAATAGCAGATCTATGCTCACACAAATGCAGGGTACTGAGTCGTGTTTTGAGTCGACTCAATAGCAGATCTATGCTCACACAAATGCAGGGTACTGAGTCGTGTTTTGAGTCGACTCAATAGCAGATCTATGCTCACACAAATGCAGGGTACTGAGTCGTGTTTTGATTCGACTCAATAGCAGATCTATGCTCACACAAATGCAGGGTACTGAGTCGTGTTTTGAGTCGACTCAATAGCAGATCTATGCTCACACAAATGCAGGGTACTGAGTCGTGTTTTGAGTCGACTCGAAAGCAGATCTATGCTCACACAAATGCAGGGTACTGAGTCGTGTTTTGAGTCGACTCGAAAGCAGATCTATGCTCACACAAATGGATGGTACTGAGTCGTGTTTTGAGTCGACCCGAAAGCAGATCTATGCTCAAACAAATGCAGGGTACTGAGTCGTGTTTTGATTCGACTCAATAGCAGATCTATGCTCACACAAATGCAGGGTACTGAGTCGTGTTTTGAGTCGACTCAATAGCAGATCTATGCTCACACAAATGCAGGGTACTGAGTCGTGTTTTGAGTCGACTCGAAAGCAGATCTATGCTCACACAAATGCAGGGTACTGAGTCGTGTTTTGAGTCGACTCGAAAGCAGATCTATGCTCACACAAATGCAGGGTACTGAGTCGTGTTTTGAGTCGACCCGAAAGCAGATCTATGCTCACACAAATGCAGGGTACTGAGTCGTGTTTTGAGTCGACTCAATAGCAGATCTATGCTCACACAAATGCAGGGTACTGAGTCGTGTTTTGATTCGACTCAATAGCAGATCTATGCTCACACAAATGCAGGGTACTGAGTCGTGTTTTGATTCGACTCAATAGCAGATCTATGCTCACACAAATGCAGGGTACTGAGTCGTGTTTTGAGTCGACCCGAAAGCAGATCTATGCTCACACAAATGCAGGGTACTGAGTCGTGTTTTGAGTCGACTCAATAGCAGATCTATGCTCACACAAATGCAGGGTACTGAGTCGTGTTTTGATTCGACTCAATAGCAGATCTATGCTCACACAAATGCAGGGTACTGAGTCGTGTTTTGAGTCGACCCGAAAGCAGATCTATGCTCACACAAATGCAGGGTACTGAGTCGTGTTTTGAGTCGACTCAATAGCAGATCTATGCTCACACAAATGCAGGGTACTGAGTCGTGTTTTGAGTCGACTCAATAGCAGATCTATGCTCACTCAAATGCAGGGTACTGAGTCGTGTTTTGAGTCGACTCAATAGCAGATCTATGCTCACACAAATGCAGGGTACTGAGTCGTGTTTTGAGTCGACTCAATAGCAGATCTATGCTCACAAAAATGCAGGGTACTGAGTCGTGTTTTGATTCGACTCAATAGCAGATCTATGCTCACACAAATGCAGGGTACTGAGTCGTGTTTTGAGTCGACTCAATAGCAGATCTATGCTCACACAAATGCAGGGTACTGAGTCGTGTTTTGAGTCGACTCAATAGCAGATCTATGCTCACACAAATGCAGGGTACTTCATCCCCAATGCTTCACTTCAATGCTCCCTCACCCCCTTTCAACCCCCCCAATAGGTCGCACTACTATGTCCAGTTGAACGGCGTATCAGTGGGAGGGCAGCGCCTGCCAGGCATTGACCAGACGTCCTTCTCCTCGCAGCAGGACGTGTTTGGCTGCTCACACCCTCCCCCCCACCCTCCTCTTGTTCCCAACCCCTCCTCTTGCCCTTCGTCCCCCAACCCCAGATCACATTATTATGTCCAGTTGAACGGCATCTCAGTGGGGGGGCAGCGCCTGCCAGGCATCGACCAGTCGTCCTTCTCCTCGCAGCCGGACGTGTTTGGCGGCTCGGGCAGCCTGCAGGCGGGAGGGGTGATCATGGACAGCGGCACCACCCTCGCCATGTTCCCCACTCCGATTTACAACACGTGGCTGGACGCGGTGAGTGTTGCTTGTGGCAGTCAGGGGGCAGCAGTGTGTGCATGGCTTCATGCACTGGTTTTACTGCGGGTCGGGGAGCCTGCAGGGGGGAGGGAGGGGTGATCATGGACAGTCACAGTGGCACCACCCTCGCCATGTTCCCCACGCCCATCTACAACACGTGGCTGGACGCGGTGAGTGGGAAGCAGCAGCATCGGCAACGCGAACAACCCACGTGGTGAGTGCACCGCCTCCCTCAGGCCCCTCTGGTGGATGACAAGGGGGCCTGAGGGAGGCGGTGCACTCACCACGTGGGTTGTTCGCGTTGCCGATGCTGCTGTTGACAAAAATGCTATCCTCCTCCTCATGCCTCTCATAGGCTGTGCACTCCTCACTGGTGCTGCTGTTGACAAAGCCCTCCTCATCGGTGCTGCTCTTGATAGTTAGGTTACTGCTTTCATTACTCTTCCAAAAGAGCCTCCACTTCTGTCGTTCCTCACCTCCTCCCCACTCCCACCCCTCTCCTCCCCACATTGCCCCCTGTTACCAGGTTACTTCTCTCATCACCTTGCCCCAAGTGGGCGCCACGTCAGACTTCCTCTGCTACGACTTTGGCTCCAAGTGAGTGCGCTACAGGCAGTTGTGCAAGAGCAAGGCTGTGTTGCACTACTGCCAGAAGTGCTACAGCCAGCCGTGATACAGCCAGCCGTGCTACAGCCAAATGCACCGCAACTAGTTGTAGCACGGCCTGTTTATCACAGCAATATTTCCCACCCGCACCAGGGGCAGCTGTGGTATGGTATGGATGGCTAATGCCTCCCATTAAGCAAGGGCAATTAAAGTATAGATAAAAGTTCCCCCACCATTTCTCAGGCACCTCAGAATTAGTCATCAACTGTTCTGCCCCACCACCCCCCTCCCCCTCTCCCCCTCCCCCCTCCCCGCTCCCCGCTTCCCGTCTCCTGTCCTGCGTTCTTGCCTCCTTATCACAGCAAGTATGAGGAACTTTCCAAGTACTTTCCGACGGTGACTCTGCATTTCGAGGGGGCAGACATGACCGTTGAACCCCCCGGCTATGTCTTCCTGCACTCAAATGTGAGTCCACTATGCCTTTCCTTCCGCTCCTCCCTTATCAATCAAGCCCCGTCCCCCATCTGAGAGGGCTGACCGTTGAACCCCCCGGCTACGTCTTCCTGCATTCAAACGTGAGCCCAGCATGCCATCCCTTCCGATCTTTCCTATTGAGTCGAGCCTCATCCCTTTTGAGAATTCTCAAAAGTGATCCCACATCCGAGTGGACATGACCGTTGAACCCCCCGGCTACGTCTTCCTGCATTCAAACGTGAGCCCAGCATGCCATCCCTTCCGATCTTTCCTATTGAGTCGAGCCTCATCCCTTTTGAGAATTCTCAAAAGTGATCCCACATCCGAGTGGACATGACCGTTGAACCCCCCGGCTACGTCTTCCTGCATTCAAACGTGAGCCCAGCATGCCATCCCCTTTCTACCCCTGCCTGGGTTATTTATTTTGAGTCGACCAGAAAGACATGACCGTCGAACCCCCCGGCTATGTGTTCACATATAGCATTGTCAATCTGCACATTGCCCTCCAATGTGAGCCCAGCATGCGATCCCTTCCAATCTTTCCTATTGAATCAAGCCCATCCCACATCTGAGAGTACATGACCATCGTCCCTCGCGGCTATGACTTCCTGCGTTTTAATGTGAGCCCACTATGCCATTCCTCCCCCTTCCGCCCCCCTCTCCCCCCTCCCACTCTTTCTCCCCCTTGACGCTTCCTCTCCCACTCTTCCCCCTTTTCCACTCTTCCTCCCCACGCCACCTCCCTCTCCCTTTTTCCTGCAATTTTTTCGAGTCCGGCCTTCCAGCCTTTTCCCTCCTGCACACCTCGCCTCCGGCCCTCAGTGATTGCAGCGTTCCACCCCTCCCCTCTGGGCCATGCTCAGAGGAAGAGAGGAGACTACTATTGAGGCACCTCAATAAGCCCATGTGTGGTCACGTGATTGCATGTGTGTGTCTGTGTGATTGCATGTGTGTGTGTTTGTGATTGCATGTGTGTGTGTGCATGTGGCTGGCAGGGGGTGGTCATGGCTGCGTGCATAGGATGGCAACCCATGCTTGGAGGAGACTTTTCCAAGATTACTGTCATTGGAGGTATGTACACCTTGCATTCCTTACAGTCACTGTCTTTGGAGGTACACCTTGCATACTGTCACTGTCATTTGGAGGTAGGTACACCTTGCATTTACTGTGTTCACTGGTTCATTTGAGGTGTGTGGCGTATTCATTACATTCACTGTCGTAGGAGGCACACCCCTTGATTGCGTTTCCATCCAGTCACTGCCATTTGAGATACAATCTTGTTTTCGTTACAGTCACTGTTATCAAAGGTAGAATTTCGTGTACAATCTTGCCCTCGCCTCCTCCTCCCGCTCACCCTTGCCTATCCTGTCCCTTCTCTCTCCTCTCCCCTTCTCCCAGACATAGTCCTGCGCAACCATCTCGTTGTGTATGACACGGATAACATGAAGCTCGGATGGGCTCCCTACGACTGTGAGTTCCTTTCACTGCACTGCTGCAACAGTGCTGTGAGGTGCCTCTACGGTCAGGTGGCCTTTGACTCGAGTCAAAGGCAACCATCTCGTTGTGTATGACACGGATAACATGAAGCTCGGACGGGCTCCATATGACTGTGAGTTCCATTGCACTTGTGCAACTTTTTTAACTTTTGAGTCTATTGAGTCTATTGAGAAGTCACCTTGTGGTGTACGACACGGACAACATGAAGCTCGGATGGGCTCCATATGACTGTGAGTCTCCGTGCACTTGTGCAGACAATGTTCAGCATTCAATAGTTTTGCTCCCTTCCTCCTTCCTTCCCTCCCTTACTTCCTTCCTCATTCTCTCCCTCCTTCCGTCCTACCTTTCTCCCTCCCTCCCACTAAGCAAGTTGCTGCCGACAGCTGGATTACACAGTTGGGACGTTTCAAACCACAAGACCTCCACTTGTCTTTTCCTCCCTCTGCGCATCTCATCATACAGGTTCCGTGGGAACGATCACAGCCGATGGAGGGGAATACAACGTCACCATTATTGTGGGAGCCAATCTCTCCCCGCCGCCACCGGTCAAGTCGTCCGCCTCTGCGGCTCGGCGCCCCACTTTCATGCTCTCGTTACTAGCTGCTGCGCTAACATCTGCAGTGCTTTTCCTCGGCGCTGGTGGAGAGGGTTTGCTAGAAGAGAACGAGTCTTCTTTTCAGCGAGGGCCAGCAGCAGTAGCAGTAATGGAGGCATCTGGAAGCAGTGGTTTACCGTGTCAAAGGCTTGCGCAAGTTGCACTAGCGCAAGGCCTCTCTTGTAGAGAGCTTGAGGAGCACAGTTCACATGAACCAATGCCATGGCTATATGATGATGTGGTTAGATGGTGACGTGTACTGGCAGGTATGAAATGGCGTCATGTGTGGTGCTGTATTTCCTGTGTAGTTGCTACATGCGAGACAAATCTGCAGTCTTTGCATAGTGAAGCAGTTTAGTAGTTTGTGTCGCTTTCAAAACTCGTATTTGTGAGTCTTTCTCTCCCAAACAATCTTCCCTTATCAGTCATATCAGCTGTGTATGTGAATACATGTGGTGTAGTGAACTATTCAGCAGTTTTTGAATTAGTGGTATCATGAGAAATGACGGGAACCGTTTGCAACAGTTACTTACCCTCCATGAATTCTCCCTCCCGTTTATCGCAAACCTTTATCGAGGTCGCGTACGTTCGACCTTATCACGTATGCAAAAAAAAACTACTGGTGCTGTTTGGAGATTACCGATAGTGAACCAGGCTTGGTCCGCTCTCACAGCCTCATTGCGCGCACTAGTCCGACATTGTAATCTTGTCAAGAAGAGCTGGAAATACTGGTGTCCTGTTTGGTGCTGATTCTTTTCCATAACATCTCTTTTTTAAATCTATAGTCCAGGCTCTCTCTCGCTTCTCCGCATCTCTCCGCCATTTGCGCGCTGCAGTACCCAAGCGTATCCTCCGTCCCGCATATTTTTTCCCACATGGATGAGTCGGATTTTCTTAAAGCCCTGGCGCTTTACCCAGTAGTTCGCTCGCGTGACTACAACGAAAACGATCTCCCGGCCACCGCTGCTTCTGCTTCCTCCCACGCATCTGAATCCCAGCGCGGTAATCCCAAGCAAGTCAGTTTACTTGCAGAGGGAGTTTCCGGGCAGCAACCCGAGACAGGTGAAGCGAATCTAGGGCTTGGGGGAACGGCTCCTACTCCTTCTAGGTCGTTTTGGGAGGTGCTGCAGGAGCGAGTGGCGGCGCACTTGCCGCCGGGAGATGCGGTGGCGCTTTGCAACGCGTTGAAAGAGTTTCACGAGGAGCTTATTCAGCAGAGATTGTCGCTGGATGACATTAGGAGGATTGCTAAGCATGGGAAGCTGCTGGAAGTGAAGTGAATTTTCTGAAGTGAAGTGTTTCACGAGGAGCAGCTTATCAAGCAGAGATTGTAACTCGATGACATTAGGAGGATTGCTAAGCATGGGAAGCTGCTGCAAGTGAAGTGAAGATTTCATTCTTGCACAAGGATTTCTGGCTTGTTCTGGTGGACGTTACACTATTGATTTGATGGTTCCAGTATTGCATGTATGTAGGGCCCTAGATTCGTTTTGGGCCAGGCTGATCCATCAACCTCGGTACAGAAAAAAACACTATCAGCGTTACCTGGGAAAAAAATCCTGAAAATTCAGGGTTGGTACAAATAGAAAACGCTGAGAACTATGTGTATGGTTTTCCTTTTGAGCAGTAGTACAAAATCAGTGTAACAAGAATCACAGTTGGTTTGGAGTGGCGGGCGAAGCAGGTGGGCTAGAGGGAGGGGCCATAGTAGCAGGTGGGCTGGGGCGGGGGGAACGAGAAAGGCACATGGGCTGAGGGGAGGGGAAAAACGGGGTGAGCTGGTGGAGAGCCGAGCAGTGCCCTAGATATCAGACTTTGGAGTCTGAATCAGAGTCCGTTCAGACTTTTTTTTTGTACCTAGTCTGAACTCAAAGAATTTATTTATGTACCTTGTCTGATTTTCCAGAGTTTTTTCTTATGAGTTGTCTGAAATTTCAGCCTAATTTTACTAGGGTAGGCTGAGCCTCAGACTTGTATCGGGGGTACACTCTGCGCGCTTATCGGAGCAAAGTTTCCTGGAAGTTTCCTTCCGATATGCCCACTTCCGAGATGGCAGTGGAGTGCCAGGACGTGAGCAACGCTCACTTCGACAGCTGGGACATCCAAATACACTCGTTCGTCGAGAATATCTTCCAGTTACGCTGAGGAAATGGTTGCGTGATTACGAGATTTCTGAAGACAAAATCTCGTCACATGTAAGTTATCGCTAATGTATTGTAAAGAATAGGCGACTTTGATGCTGATTCGCTGTAAAAACATCTGCAGCACGCACTGGTGTGAATTGCGAAGTTCCTGATTCGTACTGAAAGTTTCGTGTGGCACTGTCTGATCCTCACATGCCACGCCAAGCAACAATTTCTGCCTGCTGCCAGCTCAGCTGCGTGGCACTTGGCCCACCTGATACAGATCGGGTGAACGATCGAATCGCTTGAAAAGCAAATCCAAAACTGACAAAATCGGCACACATGCGAGAAAATGGGTACAGAACGGTAATCACACACACGACAAAACGAAATGAGATCAGCAGAGCAGAAACAACCATGCGCTGCACGTGACAAAAACACTGGAACGCCGCCGACATGAGCAGAGGCGATGCACGGGCACGAGCACGTTGCCTGATGCGTTGGTATGGTAGGCTGTAATCAGCCTCAATGCTATTATAACTGCTTTTACGAAACTGCATGAACATCTTAAAATTTGAAGTAACTCTGACAGTTCAGACAAAAAAAATTGTGCTTGTCTGAATTTTCAGACTAAAATATTGAGGCACCTCTGACAGACAGAGTTCCAGGAGGGGTGTACTCTGAGGCCTCAGACTACCTCAAAACGAATCTAGGGGCCTGGAGCCGAGAGGAAGTGGTGGACTGGGGGAAGTCTCTGTGAAGATAGTAGGTAGAGTTAGGAGCCATAGCTAGGTAAGTCCTAGCTAGGCAAGAGAAGTTTAGGCAAAAGAAGAAGAGGGGGTTCACTAGAAAGCAGCAGGATACATATAGGAAACCCTAAGGGGTTGTACTCGCTATAGAGTACCCCACTGCAGGCTAGAGAACAATGACATTCTGACACACCCCCATAGCCAAAGTGGGGTGTAATCAGCAGAGCAAGCAAAGCAGAACAAGCTCAGGGTGGATCACAATGTCACGACACATTTTGAGCACAAGTACAAGAAGCAATAGTTTAAAGTTCACAATTATGAGCAAAGCTAGAGGCTATCGCAGAGGGCAAGTGAGGAGGAGGAGGCGAGAGTGAGAGGAGAGGAGATAGGAGGCGACGGCTGAAGCTGCAGACACACGGGCAACAGGAGTCACACTGGCACAGCGGCTACCGGAACAACGCTCCGGACTACTGGAGTAACTGGCTCTGCGGCTAAAAGTAGCGGCAGACGAGCAACGGACCCACGGGCGACTGGCACAGCTGGCTGCGACTGGGCTACCGGAGCAACTCCCCGGACTACAGGTGCTGCTGGCGACACGACGGCAACCTCAGTTCAACCTCCCCAAACAGTCCCACTCCCCCTGACACACACCCCCTGCTTCACCCCTAGCTCCACTCCCCCTTCACCCCCCTTAGTACCACTCCGACGGCTCCAACAGGTCCACCCCCCTCAGCGGCAGCTGCAGCACTGGGAGACGGAGGAGGAGGAGGAGCAGGGGACGGCACACAGAAGCTGCACCCCCATACCCCCCACCCCCAAACCCTAATTCAGGAGAACGGGCAGCAGCAGGGGTGGGGCGCCATCAGAAGCACGGGGGACAGCGGGCAGCGCAGGGGCAGCGAAGAACGGGCCGCCCACGGGCCTGGCACAGCCGCCCGAACCGCGCGCAGGCGGCCCGAGCCGCGCGCGGGCCTGGCGCAGCCCGTACGGGCCGCGCGCAGGCTGTACGAGCCGCGCGCAGGCCACGACGGGCGACAGGGGGCGACGCGCGGGTCCCCGTCGCCCGTCGCAGCGCCTCCCGGGAGCGACGCGCGGAGTGACGGGGCAGAAACCCGCCGCGCGCCTCGGGGCGCACGGCGGGCAGACAACCGCCGCGCGCCTCGGGGCGCACGGCGGGCAGAAAACCGCCGCGCGCCTCGGGGCGCACGGCGGGCAGAAAACCGCCGCACGCTCCGAGCGCGCGGCGGGATGAAAAATCCGTCGCACGCCACGGGGCGTGCGACACAGAGAGTAGCAGTAGCAGCGGAAGCAGTGAGGTGGTGAGCCCACCCACAGGATCGACCCAAGGGGATCGACCTGCTCTGATACCATGTGAAGATAGTAGGTAGAGTTAGGAGCCATAGCTAGGTAAGTCCTAGCTAGGCAAGAGAAGTTTAGGCAAAAGAAGAAGAGGGGGTTCACTAGAAAGCAGCAGGATACATATAGGAAACCCTAAGGGGTTGTACTCGCTATAGAGTACCCCACTGCAGGCTAGAGAACAATGACATTCTGACAGTCTCGAGAGAGTGAGGAGTTTCAAGCACTCTATGCTTGTATGTCCTCCTTGGATCTGTGCTCCTTAATCTTTTTCAACTGTGCAGTGAAAAAAGCCGCTAGTTTCTCTTGCTTACGCCTGCTGGTATAACCAAAGGATCTAGTGGATAGGATAGGATCTGTTAAGTCTGAGAGGAGACAATGAAGTCTCTGTAGTGACCTTGTTGAATAATAATTGAAAGAGAACAAGATGATTAAAAGATAGGAGTACAATAGATTAAATAGAAATCTAGCTAGCCATGTACTCTGAGGGGTACATTCCTTTATTAACTGTATTGCATAGCTACAGTAACCGCGACTATTGCTATTCTCGACAGTTACCATGTTGCAGTGAATTAACTGTCGCGCGGTTACTGGATCGTCAAGGGTCACGACCGTTGACTTCCTCAGACGGTTGTCCTTCGGGTGACCCTCGACATTCCGCATGCTCTATATGAGCTATTGCGGTACTGGTACAGTGGAACAGTTTCGGGAATGCTTTATATAACCTTTCGGTTATTCCAACACTCCCCTTCATTCCTGAAGGTGTTCCACGTGGGATTTCTTGGTGATCCCGCAGAGGTCGGCGCAGCGTTGGTACTGCTGACGTGGCAGCTTCTTCGTCAAGAAATCAGCTGCCATGTCACCGGTCGGGCAGTACCGTACGTCAGCTTGACTTTCCCTTTGTCGATTTCATCCTTCACGAAGAAGTAGCGAAGGGCGATGTGCTTGGTGCGGTTGACGAAGCCGGGCTTGTTCGCGATCTTTATCGCGCTCTGATTGTCGCAGAGTAACGTGAAGTGTCCGTTCATCGTCACTTTCGCTTCTTGCAGGAGCTCCATCAGGTACAGTCCTTCGCGAACAGCTGCGCTAGCGGCGATGAATTCTGCTTCGGCTGACGAGAGAGCGATAAGTTCCTGCTGCTGATAGAGACGATGGTTGTCGGGAGAGAGCGGTGTGGTGTCTAACTTGTGGTTAGGAGGAGGAGTGCGATAGGGGGTAGTGAGGTTGATTGGTGCGATTGAGAAGCGCTTCGCGAGCGTTTCGGCGTACTTGGCGGCGGAGAGGTGAATGGAGGAGGCGGACTGAGTCACATTGAGGCCGAGAAACTGGGTGACGTTGTGGTTGATTGTCACCTCCAGTTTCTCTTTGATGTCAGCCTCAAACTGGTCCAGCAGCTCCGTGTCGTCGCCGGTGTAGAGGAGGTCGTCGACGTAGGCGACGAGGAGTACGAATTTCCCGCGCGATTCCCGCCTATACATTCCGAGGTCGTGCGGCAGCTGAGTGAAGCCGAGCTCAAGGAGGACGGAATCGAGGTACTGCTGCCATAGACGAGGCGCCTGCTTGATTCCGTAGAGGGATTTTTGGAGGAGGCACACGGCGCCATCGTTTTCTTCGAACGCGTGCGGCTGCTCGACAAAGATGATGGCATCAACGGGAGCGTAGAGGAAGGCGCTGCCGACGTCGATTTGTCGGAGCGGTCGCTGTTTGATGGCGGCGATGCAGATGAGAATGCGCACCGAGGTGTGGCGGCCGACCGGAGCGTAGGTGAGAGTGAAATCCACCAGGTGCGTTTGTTCGAATCCCCGCACCACCCAACGCGCCTTGTATTTGTCGATCGAGCCGTCTGCGAGAGTTTTGATGCGAAAAACCCATTTGCCGCTGAGAATTTTTCTCCCCTTTGCCGATGACCGAGGGACCAACTTCCAGGTGCCACGTTTCTTCAGCGATGCGATTTCGGCGGCCATGGCTGCTCTCCATTTTTCACTGTCGGGGCCAGACAGGGCTTGGCGGACTGTGGTTGGTTCCTTGGGTGAGTTGTGGCGAACGGCGACG